GGTCTGAGAATGTATATTATAAGAGACTTTCTCACACTACATAGTCTCTCCTGACATGTGAATGGCGGCTCAAATCAACCGACGAAAAGGCGAATAGAAATTAGTCTACCTAAAGCCGTTAGTTAACAAGACAAATCAAACTGTAAGAGATGGTAAGAACAAAGTTAATTGGAAATTAGATGAGAAAGGTGCGTATGCTTTATTTGAAACTGTTCTGTCAACATAGGTGAGATATTGAAATTAAGGGCAATTCAATTAGATTAATAAAAGCAACGAAAGAAAGTACACTCCATATGTCCCTCTAAATAACCAAAAAGCCAATGTTCTTCTGAGAATGACTAACTATTCCTACTGTCGAGCAGTAGCTGTGGCACCACATCAGACAAATTTTGACATTCGAACACAGTTTGTCATATGATCATAAGTAGTAGGGCATATGTGCTGAGACTCTACTCCGTACTAGAAGAGGAAAAGAGAGCATGTGATGCACTCGTGTATGTGACTATTGAGACAAGAGGCTGATGCTTTCAAGGTAAAACCATCTGTGTTATGAAACCTACCTATGAAACTAGCGAAATAAGTATGTGATATGACCGGTCATGCTACTGGGTAGTGCTTCCAACGATCGAAGAGCTAGCACTCCATACATCTATCTGAAATCTTACCCCTGACTAGAGCAACATGGCAATTAACTAAGTACGGAGTTACTCCATACTCCATACACAGATCGATGCAGGTACATCATAGGTATAGTAGATCCAACCCCGTCGATCAGTGGATCGGTGGATGCCAGAATAATCAAGAAACCTTGACAATTTGTTAGGATTATATAGCAATCTGCACAGACTAATAGTCCAAGAAGCATTGAAGATGCTAGACATCCACTCTCCTGGCTTGTATCAGAGACAAGTCACTCGATCTACAGAGTAAAGCATAACGAGCATGCCCAGCCTGACCTAGATGTCCGGAATTACTTCATACATACATAGGATGGTCAAGCCTCTAATGTTGTTATTGAAGAGTATCAAAGTGAAAAATCCAATAGCGCAAGAGCTTTGCATATATATTCACAGATCTACGATGCTCTGATGTTAAGTAGAGTTTCTTGAATCATTGGGGCGAGAGAGTTCGCCAAGGTCCAGGTCGGGATGCCGAATCAGCCTCTAGAATTCCCACCAATGGAAGGCTGGATGCTTATCTTGACTTAACGTACTTTTCTAGACCCCCTAGCTTGTACTCCGTATACCGCGTGGCAAAAGGTTTATGTAGTTTTGCCGCCCCATGCAAGGCTCTGTATTGTACATAGTCGTGTGGAAGGGTGTGACATACCCCGAGAATTGGGGAAACCATTAAGAGATGATGCGGAGATAATAATATGTCAGGGGCAGAAGCATGAATGTTCAGCAGGTATGTGTAGGTGGGTTGCTATGCAAAGATACATAAAGAACCTGCACACTATTGCGTTATAGTACGGAGTAATTCTTGCCATCATTAATCTCCGAACTCTCCCACATTGTGTCATGAGAGGCCATGGATAATAGAAAAGAGTTCGACAACATTGAAACAACCCCTCACATTGTTAAAGCTATACGATGTACGGAGTACGGAGTAAAAATTACTAGTATGTAGATAAGGGAAATTACATTGTGATTGGTTGACGCAACACCCGTGGACGAGATTGAGCTCAGATAAGAGATCAAACGTCGTTTTGGTTAACAACTTCACATTGCACATGGCAATCAATAATTATCATTGAAACTACTATATCTAAGGCATCGGGACAGCTTTCCATGGATCAATCCAACATTGAACTTGGATGACAATTAAACAATTAAACAATTAAGCGACAGAAAAACCATTCGCGCGAAAAAAATGATAAGCAAATGACTGTGATTGGTTGGTTTCAACTTCATATCTACAGCCAGTCGTTGAGCACCCGTCCAATTTCGATTCCTATTATTTCCTATTATTCTCTTCTGTCACTGAAATGACCCAATCTGTTTATCACTTTAATACAGTGTACGGAATAAGTTGCACTCCCCCTGCTTATCGTGAGTCAATGCATAGGGCTTGAGATGCACACAAGGTCCTATTAGATCCTTCTCAAGTGAAAATATACAGATGTACGGAGTAGAGAAAACAATATGTAGGTACACAGCAGTTTAAACATGGTTCTAAGAGCAGACGCCCATAGAATGTTCGAATATGGCCGAAGTATGCAAACGCAAGGACCCGTAATTCCCCGGTCTGGGTCTATGGAGTATATGCCATATCCGCCATGCACTCGGAAAGGCTGAAATGGGGGCGGGCTTGGCTACCTGCTATCGGCCAGATCAGATGAATCATATCAGAAATCAGAATGACCAGCTCTCACTATCGGAACTAAGATCGATGGTCTGTCAGCCTTCTAGCGTCTAACAGTGGAGCATTGTTTGGTTGTCTGGGACTGTGGCAGTTATTTAAATTACAAGGGTTCGTCCTTGCAGACAACTCCGTAGACATATCATTTCTCTCTCCTTTCACAGCCCGGTGCTTGAAAGTATTTCCTACTTCTTTCTCTCCATCGCCTATCACAAAGCTTTGGGATATCTCCTGTATCATTCCATTGCGGCTGTCCTTTCAACTGCATATCACACTTCCAATAATACCATTGGCTTACCCTAGGTTTTACCATGGCCGAATATCCGGTTGCCTACAATGGCACCATCGCAACTGGTGGTGACTCGCTTCATGATGACTTGAACATTTTCTACAGTGTATGTTGTATACTTTAATAGGGGTCAATCGAGGAGCTTGATAGCTAACAATGTTAATAGTCTGGTGATATCGCATGGGTCGTCACCTCAACAGCCCTAGTGCTGCTCATGATTCCTGGAGTTGGGTATGTCTATGCTAACTTTTCCTTAAACACCCAAGGACTCTAGCTAATTACTTGATTATAGATTCTTCTACTCCGGTCTAGCTCGTCGAAAGTCAGCACTCTCATTGATATGGCTCTCGATCATGTCGGTCGGTGTGGTTTCATTCCAGTGGTTCTTCTGGGGTTATTCGCTGGCCTTCTCCCACTCAGCCGGCAAGTATATCGGTAACCTCGATAACTTCGGCTTCAAGGGTGTTCTGGGTGCGCCGTCTGTGGGAAGCGACAAGGTTCCCGATCTTCTGTTCGCTATCTTCCAGGGAATGTTCGCCGCTATTACGTGAGTCATTATCACCATGCATCGATCATGTAGATGAAGATCATCTAGAAACATCAACTAACATTTCATTCGCAATTAGTGTTGCTCTTGCCGTCGGCGCCGTTGCTGAGCGTGGTCGCATGCTCCCTTGCATTGTCTTCATGTTCATCTGGTCTACTATTATCTACGACCCTATCGCCTGCTGGACATGGAATTCATCTGGTTGGGTATTCCAGCTTGGAGGTCTTGACTTCGCAGGTGGTACTCCCGTCCACATTGCCTCTGGATCTGCTGCCCTCGCTTACTCGTTGATGCTGGGTAAGCGTCGCGGCCACGGCACCCACGAGCTTAACTACCGCCCTCACAATGTAACTCACGTTGTCATCGGCACTGTGTTCCTCTGGGTCGGCTGGTTCGGATTCAATGCTGGCTCTGCTCTCGCTGCCAACCTCCGTGCCGTTATGGCTGCCGTTGTCACTAACCTTGCTGCCTCCGTTGGAGGTGTGACCTGGTGTTTGATGGACTACCGACTGGAGCGCAAGTGGTCCACTGTTGGCTTCTGCTCTGGTGTCATTGCTGGCCTTGTTGCTATTACTCCCGGCTCTGGATTCGTCACTCCCTGGGCTGCTTTCATCTTCGGTATCGTCGGTGCTGTTGCATGCAACTATGCTACTAAGCTTAAGTTCGTCCTCGGCGTTGATGATGCTCTCGATATCTTTGCCGTGCACGGTATCGGTGGTATTGTTGGAAACCTCCTGACCGGCCTTTTCGCTGCGTAAGTGAACCTACTTCCTGATGGCATTGTCTGATCATAAACTAACTTGCATATATAGTGATTACATTGCGCACCTGGATGGTGCCACTGAGATCGATGGCGGCTGGATCAACAAGAACTATATCCAGTTGGGATACCAGCTTGCCGACTCGGTCTCTGGAATGGCATATGCCTTCTTTGGAACCTGCATTATTCTCTTCGTTATGAACCTCATTCCTGGTCTTAGCTTGCGCGCGCCCGAGGAAGACGAGATTATGGGTATCGATGATGCCGAAATTGGCGAGTTTGCTGTAAGCTTTATTCTTCCTGGGTCTGCTAAAGAAACATATTCTGACATTTTATCCTCTAGTATGATTACGTTGAGGTCACTCGTGACATTGTCAACGGCGTGGAAAGCTCGGAGACCGGCTCTAAGCGCACTGCTACACCCGTGGGCGAGGTCATTGACACCAAGGCTTAGATCCAACTTGATCTGACAGCTGTTCTTTCTTTAATATTTAATATCCGGCAAATGCCTTTTTTTTTTTTCTTTCATGTTAATTCTTCTTCTTCTTCTTCTTCTTCTTGGTGATGGCAGAGCGTCTTGAATATCTACATGTACAGTATGAAACTGTAGGTATTTGGGGTGCTCTCTGGACTCCAATTTTCGCTTCGACAGCATATTTTCAGATACCCAATTCAAATTCTATGAAACCAGTCTGGGAGAAATTTAAATTGATAGTTCGTAGGCAAACCGTGAATGTAGAAATCGTAGTACAGCATGAGCAATCTCCGAAGTGAACAGAGGCACATTGAGGAGTGTAGGATGCCATTATAAATTTGAAGGAAGCTTGATTTTGGAACTGGAGAAAGCGGCGGAAATGCGGATCCACTCCAAGTACCTTCCGGAATGCCGCGCCGAGAGTTCACCGCGGGATGAGCTGTGTTCACCTGGGCAATCATCGCAACCCGCCGTCGACATTTCGTCATAACACCCCAACACGTCTCCCTTGTTTTGATTCATCTGATTCATCTTCCCGGGGGTTTGGTCGACGGCTGTATTCATCAAAATGGATTTTCCGACCGACGTGGCGGAGTTTGATAGCGATCCGCGCATCTCGTTCTCGAAACTGGACAACAGCTTCCTACTGGAGACAAGCGATGGTCGCGAGTTCTTGTTCAACAGTATTCTGAAGAGATGGGTTGAGACGGTATGTAATGAACGTATTCGCACCCTGACGCTTTGCGATGGGCTGTCCGCAATGCAGGCCGACAATCTCCAGTGCTAACCTGAATTGCGACTTTAGATCGACGAGGCGCTCATCCGCAAGCAGCAGGGGTACGGCTCAGACGACGGCGAAACTGAAATCGTTCATCCGCGTGACCGTAAGAAGCGAAAGAACTCTCATGACGGGGTAAGTATTCCGGTCTTTTGTGGCAGCTTGCTGGCATTGGTAATTGACTGTCTCCTTTCGCATTTTAGACCGATGAACCCAAGGTAAAGAAGCCCCGTGTGAACACCGCTGTGTGGGTTACCAAGATTCCCCTTGACGCCGAGTTGTCTGAGATTCAAGACCTGTTTTCGAAGTATGGAATCCTCGCAGAGGAACTGGACACCGGAAAGCCACGGATTAAAATGTACACCGACGAAAATGGCAACTTCAATGGCGAGGCTTTGGTTGTGTACTTCCGACCGGAGTCAGTCAAGCTCGCGATTGACTGTCTCGACGAGACGGACTTCCGACTAGGTCCCCACAACCCAGCTGGACCGATGCGCGTTCAGACGGCCGACTTTTCGTACAAACGTGAAAAGGATGTGGAGCCGAAGGTTACCATGACTGCGAAAGAAAAGAAGAAGCTCAAGGAGCGTGCGGAGCGATTGAACAAGTGTGTTTGTTGATCACAGCGGCAAAGTGTTTCATGCTGACTTGACTGTGATAGGAAACTTTCCGACTGGGGTGATGATGAGGCCGAGCAGACCTTAAAGGCGATTAAGGCTGCCGAGGAGGCTACACGACATGTGATTCTGAAACATATGTTTACACGGGAAGAACTGGAGGTTAGACTTACCCTCCTTTGGACAAATATGGACACGCGGCTGACGTGTAATTACAGGAAGATCCGCTCGCCAGTATTGAGATTCACGATGACATTCTCAGCGAGTGCTCTAAGATTGGTGACGTGGCCAAAGTCGTGGTCTGGGACGGAGAAGCTGATGGGGTTGTTACTGTTCGATTTGTCTCAACCGCGGACGCACGTCGCTGTGTCAAGGTAGGCCTTTAAGTTTGAATCAACGTGATGGCAACTGCTGACCATATTTAGACCATGAACGGGCGCTACTTCGGAGGCAATACTGTTGTTGCTTACATCTGGGATGGAGATGAGAAGTTTAACAAGCACAACCCCCGACGAGACGCAGGGGGCAATACGGCGAACCCTCTGGATGCAGACGATGAGGAGAACGAGCGCCTTGAGCGGTTTGGAGATTGGCTGGAAAGCGGCGCAAACCAGAAGACCGACAAGAACCAGGAAATCGCCAATGACAAGACTGCCAAGGAGGAGGCAGATGAGGGCCAGGAAACTGGCACGAACTAGTCCAACCGAACAGAAAACGCCGAGACCCCATGTCAAGTGATCGAAAACGGCGAGAACAACCCTCTAAAACCACATACCCAAAACAGTGGAAACTATCCACCAACTGAACGAATTCCATACGATGAGAGCCACTGAAGGGCAAGTGAGTACTTCCCAGTGAATGGAAGGCAATATCTGACTGAACGAACTCCAACTGACGAGAGCTATCCTAGGGCAAGTGAGTACTACCATGTGGATGGAAAGCGGCGCCTAGTTATTGAACGAATACCCAATATGTACGATTAGTCCAAATTTTTTCGAATTGAACGATTGAAACAATAGTATTTTACGTAGTTAGTTGTAATTATACAGATGTGTGTAGTTACAATCAACTAGTTAGTATGTAACTAGTAGTTATGTAGCTACTGTATGTAGTTTATCGTACCATATCACGCGCCCCAAGGAAACGTAAAATGTGGTTCGCACCTCCCCGAGTCCCGTGATGCGGCTATACCCAATCGAGCCTCCCCCCTGAAGTTCAGTTGTTGACTTGTTGATCCCACACACACCGCTCAACTGGCCTTCTTGCTTTCTCTTCTTCCCCATCCTCCCTGACTTGTCACCGGTTCTCCTTTTTTCGTCCATCTCTTTTCTAATCCCTTCAAAATGCGTGAGATTGTACGTTATCCCTTCCAGACGCGTCTTTTGTTTTCATACGGCCCCTGAGCCATGACCCCACTCTCAACAGATCTTTTGCTAACATGATATAGGTTCACCTCCAAACCGGCCAGTGTGTAAGTTCGACTTGGAACATTCTTGGAAACATTCTTCGATTCGTGGGACTAAATTGGAATTGCATTATAGGGTAACCAAATTGGTGCCGCTTTCTGGTAAGTGCCGAGTTTTTTTTTTCGCGTTGGGTATCAATTGACAGGTTCCTAACTGGATTACAGGCAAACCATCTCTGGCGAGCACGGTCTCGATGGCGATGGACAGTAAGTTTTAACAGTGATAGGGGTTTCCGGTGGATTACACATCTGATATCTTCCTAGGTACAATGGTACCTCCGACCTCCAGCTCGAGCGTATGAACGTCTACTTCAACCATGTGAGTCCAACGACAGGAAACCGAATAATAGTGCATCATCTGATCGGATGTTTTCCTTGATAATCTAGGCCAGCGGTGACAAGTACGTTCCCCGTGCCGTTCTCGTCGATTTGGAGCCTGGTACCATGGACGCTGTCCGCTCCGGTCCCTTCGGCAAGCTTTTCCGCCCCGACAACTTCGTCTTCGGTCAGTCCGGTGCTGGTAACAACTGGGCTAAGGGTCACTACACCGAGGGTGCCGAGCTTGTTGACCAGGTTCTCGATGTCGTCCGCCGTGAGGCTGAGGGCTGTGACTGCCTCCAGGGTTTCCAGATCACCCACTCCCTGGGTGGTGGTACCGGTGCCGGTATGGGTACACTTTTGATCTCCAAGATCCGTGAGGAGTTCCCCGACCGTATGATGGCCACCTTCTCCGTCGTTCCCTCCCCCAAGGTCTCCGACACCGTTGTTGAGCCTTACAACGCCACCCTCTCCGTCCACCAGCTTGTTGAGCACTCCGACGAGACCTTCTGTATCGATAACGAGGTATGAAACGCGTGAGGAAAAGACTGACGCGAAGATTACTGACAATCCTAGGCTCTCTACGATATCTGCATGCGTACCCTCAAGCTCTCCCAGCCCTCCTACGGCGACCTGAACCACCTCGTCTCCGCCGTCATGTCCGGTGTGACCACCTCCCTCCGTTTCCCCGGTCAGCTCAACTCCGATCTCCGCAAGCTCGCCGTCAACATGGTTCCCTTCCCTCGTCTGCACTTCTTCATGGTCGGCTTCGCTCCCCTGACCAGCCGCGGTGGCCAATCTTACCGCCAGGTCAGCGTTCCTGAGTTGACCCAGCAGATGTTCGACCCCAAGAACATGATGGCTGCTTCCGACTTCCGTAACGGCCGCTACCTCACTTGCTCCGCTTTGTTCCGCGGTAAGATCTCCATGAAGGAGGTTGAGGACCAGATGCGCAACATCCAGAGCAAGAACCAGAGCTACTTCGTTGAGTGGATCCCCAACAACGTCCAGACCGCTCTGTGCTCCGTTCCCCCCCGTGGCCTCAAGATGTCTTCCACCTTCGTTGGTAACTCCACCTCCATCCAGGAGCTCTTCAAGCGTGTCGGCGACCAGTTCACTGCCATGTTCCGTCGCAAGGCTTTCTTGCACTGGTACACTGGTGAGGGTATGGACGAAATGGAGTTCACTGAGGCTGAGAGCAACATGAACGATCTTGTCTCCGAGTACCAGCAGTACCAGGAGGCCTCCGTCTCCGAGGGCGAGGAGGAGTAGTAAGCATTCCCCATACCACCCGATTTTCGAATACGTCGACTAATGAATTTTCTCCCTATTTTTAGCCTCGGTGATGAAATTGTTGATGAGGAGGTTTAAATAAGTCTTTGAGATTTGTTCAAAGTAATACCCTTGTCAAGCCTACATTCTCTACCATTCGGACCGGCTTGTGGGCGCAAGCCCCGAACCAATTTGTTTGAGCGCTCCTAATTTACACCCTTTTTTGTCTATTTTTCTGCTCGGCTTGGGTGATTTGTTCCGCCCCTCCAGAATAGCACATAGTGGAAAAGAAAGTGACGAACCCATTTTTCATGGTCTTTAGCTTGTGTTAATTGTAGTATTGAATATCAAGGTTGGTGTTACAGCAGTTTATATGGGTCAGTACCCTTGACTTTATAACTTCATATGCCTAGGTTGTGACAATCTCACGAAAGCAAGAAAATACGGGCTTTCCCGTTGTATTATACAACGCTACAACCATTGACCAGTACCCGTATCTCATGGGCAATCCATCGCCTTTCTACCCCTCAATGAAAAGGGCATTTCCCAGTCCGGGATCCCCTCAACTCCAACAAAGTCTCATCTAACTGCTTCCTCCCCTTCCCCTCAAAATACTTCGGACCAACATCCGGAACACTATATCCATTAGGGTAATACTTATCCCCCTCATCACCAGGCACAGGCCGTCCTAGAGCTCGAGTCAGCCATGCCATCGGGCCCCAGCGGTTCCAAAACGTGGGCTTGACATAGTATGGCGCGGCCTCCCACTGGGTGAGGAAGAAGCGGTCGTTTTCATCCGGCTCCTCGGTGAACGAGGTGGAGCGCAGGAAGTACGGTCGTGGCAGAGATAGGTAGCGGAGGAATAGCTTGCGGGCTGTGATGATAGCCGATAAGAGCGCTGCACAGAATGCGGAGGGGGGTTCGTAGCTGTTTGGTAAGAGGTTAGACAGTGTGTTGGTGATTAGTTCATCCATGCAGCGTTGCAACTTACTACATCGCCCTTCTAAGCCTGTCATCCATCATAAACGAAACAAACTGTAACCCAACTGGATGGAACATCTTAGGCAGCATATAAACCAGCACAGCAGTAGTCTGATCCGCCGTCTCACGATTCTTAGCATCAGGCACCATGAACTTCGTCTCATACTCCTCGCTCCATGCATCAATCTCCTCGAGCCACTGAATCCCATCCCGGAACCCGGTCTTACCAGATGGCAGCTTCTCATAGCTAATCTCCAGCCCATCACCCACACTCTTCCAGAAAGTCCCGATGGCACATCGCTCCAGGTCACTCAGCTGGCGCCACTCATAGCGATTGATGAACCGAATCGGCTGGAGCGCGAAAAGCGCCAGCGTAAAGAGCATATCGTCATCGAGGATTTTACCTGAGGCTCTGTACCCGCTGTGTAGGTAGCGCGTCCGGGCAAGACCGAGGTATGCGCGTGCGGAAGTCGGGTTGTTGCCGACCATCTCTTGGACGAGAACGCTGGTATCCGTGTACCGCTTTAGGGAAGTTTCTGGGCTGGAGAATTGACTTGTTTTTACGAGAAGGCTGGATATTGAAGGGATGCCGTATGTCTTTTTCTTCAGTTAGAAATTTCATGTATAGATCGATAGGGAATGGCCCGATTGTTTGTGGGTCGTGTTTTTTTTTTTCTTTCATACCCGGAATAAGGCGAATTGCAAGCTCTTGATGAATATGAGTGGGAACTCGAGCTGCGCCACTTGTTTTTGGATCTGGAAGGCTTCTTCGTCGGTCATTTTGGACATCGATTCCCGTGTTGGGTAGGCATATTGCTTGTGGAGCTTGCGTAGGCGCTGGAACCGTAGACTTGTTGTCACTACTGGCCAGGCGACGAGGAGGCCTACGGCGTAAGGGAGTAGTTGGGATGCCATACCCCCTGCAGGTAGGGATGAAGCCCAGGTGTCGGTATAATTCATATTGACGCGACAAGTGTGGGGATGGGACCTCAACTGGGGGTTCCACGAGGTTTAAATAAGAATGTGGTGGTTGGTGGTGACCCACAGGACAGGCCCATTTATGATCCCCACAAGGTTTATGAACTGTCATTTGTGCAACCTCTTGTGTAACCTGTACATAACACCCTGCATATCTCAAATAACCCTTAGAGGAGCCTGTAGGAGCATGTAGTAATTAGGTTTCCAAGGTTGTTCACTTCATCTAATCTAGAGAATATAATTGGATAATTTCAAACGCGGGGTATCCGAAACACCGAGCCTCGGGGAACTGGAGAGGGGAATGAACGTTCACATCCTCGGGCTATCCGACTATTATATGCGAAGAAGGGCCTCAAGCCAGACTATTATCGTACCCCTGTAATCCAAAATCTACATCTGAGAAGGTGCTGACGACATCCTCGGTTGTGCGAGATGCATATGCATGCGACCAAGCCTCGTAAGCACTATAGCGGTTATTCTCAAGCCAACGGACCATAGCTGTAGGGTATCTATTACAACGTCACATTATTTAAGCAAATTCTATTAGAATTATTTTGATTATAGGTCCAGCCTGACACTATCACATCGGGTCTTTACAGTTCCCATATCGCTATATACTATCTGGTTTATGTTGAGGGGATATAAAATGTTCTTCCGACAAGCTTTCTGGCAGATCACTAGCGGCGAATGAATCTGAGCTCCAATACCCGTAGCGGTGGGAAAAACATCGCAGTGAAGCCCGCACCCAACCAGAGACCCAGATCAGCTTCGCCAGCCATCTTTGCGATGGGGCCGATATAATACGATTGAGACTAAATATAGATATTAGCGAGATGCAATCAATCGGATTCCTGGGAATATAAGGCTTACCATGCCAACGATTGCACCAGCCCAGCCGATAAGGAAAGCAACTCCTGCCGCGATCCCCAAAGGCAATTTATCGCGACAGTTCCACTGAGACCAGTCATAGCCTCTTCTCCGACGGAAGACCACATGTTCTTCAAAGACAATCACGACAAACATCATAACCCAGTATCCGATTAGAGGCAAGAAAGACTTGAAGATCTCGTACAGCCGGTCCCGGCCTCCCATCGCGCATGCGGCATATATCACCGTAGCGAGAGTCGTGAAAATCGGCTGTGGAACCTTTCCAAACACCCCGCCAATCATTTGGAAGTTCATCCCCATCGAGTACGCCCCAGGAGTATTATTGGCAACCAAGGCGAGGACATTGATGACAGCACAGAATTTCCCGAACCCTCCCAGACCGTCGTATGCTGTCATCAGAACGCCCCCGGGACTGCTGCCATACTTGGCCGCCAAGTGTGTCGAGCTGGCGATCACGGTTCCAAGACCAACGCCCATAAGAAGAACAATTGACATGGCACAAGTGGCGGCGAAGACTGTGACCAGGAATATCCGATAGCTCTTCATTTGCGGCGGGATATACACATAGTAATCGGCAGCGAGCGGGGCCCAGGCAAGGGGAATGGACAATGCCAGAGAGAGGAAGGTTATTATTTTGGCAATTAAGTGCTCTGTCGACATTGGTGTATGGATGTTGAAGTCGAACTTAGGCCCTGCTGAGCCCACCATCACGCATATCACCAGCAGCTGTGGCAACCAGGCAACTCTGGTATTGATTAGAATATGCATTTCAAGGTATGCTGGGCTGTCAATTCTTACCGTTCGTATAATTGGAAGATTTTCATTCCAAACAGAGCCATAATCCAGCTTGAAACGGCGACAATGATAATTCCCACTATCACGGAAAGATAGCCACCAGAGACCACAGACAAGATCTGGCCACCGACGACGCTGTTTACCATGCTATACCCGATATTGGTGAAGAGGTTCAGGATGATGCAAACTTTGCTGGGATAATAGCCCATGAAATATCGGGCCACGATCTATCAAATTCATGAGCATCCGTTCATCTTGTTAATAGCACCTTCTTCTCCCCGTGCAGCAAAAAAACAATGTTTAGATATTAACATACCAAAGTTCGGTTCCCGCTTTTCGATCCCCATATACTTATAAAACCAACAGTGCAATTGCCGGCTAAACATCCAAATACAGCACAGAGGGCTGCATCCCTGAAGCTGAGGCCAAGCACGAGTGTACCCATTGATCCAACAACGATGTTATTTGTAGCCAATGTCATGCTAAACCACATTAGTAGCATATGAAGTATGGTCGATGATGTTATTGGCTCTCGATCTTCGATAGGAATCGGCCCGATGCCACGGATTTCCACATTTCTCAAGCTTGCAATCCACTGTGAGCATCTTGACTGTGGCACGGGGTCAGGCTTTGCGAGGTCTGAGTCGTCGGAGGAGCTGTTGGAAGCGCTTTTGTCGAGGTAAAGTTGGTTCAGACTCCCAAGAGCAGGCGAGCTGTGGGCTTTTTCGACATCGTCGGGCTTCATTCTCGGATACCTCGAAGCTCGCGTGAGTGGACTATGTCGGATTAAGCTGTTCGTGAACCGAAGCTTTCAATCCGAATCTATTAATGGTTAAATGAATTTTAAGCAGTCTGATGTATAGAGTGGATGTCGTAAATCCGCAGCTATACAATAGCTACAAAAGGCGAGGGAAATGAGCCGTTCGTATAAAACATGACGGAGGGGGGAGCTATGGTATGATAGATATAAGGGAAAAAGCACGCGGGGCCAGTGCACCATTGCTAGCCCGTTGGACATTGACATCACCCTGTCTACCCAGTGAGACGGTGTAACAACCCCAGGGGAGACTGGATACATACACATTCCTTAGCAATCAAGGCACCAGCCGAGCAGCTCGCCGCCAGTATCCAATGATGAACCCAGGAATTGGAATCACTGCAATACAACTGTGAATAAACACACTCTGCAGATTGTAGATCATTGATCGCCTAGTGGAGAAAAAAAAGAAGCTACCTAGCTTTATCCCGACATACAAGTGTGGGGATGAACCTCATCGCGCAATATTAGCCCATCCACCAGGGCACCCACCCACACACATATTCGGTGGGTCTGTAGCCATCTCATGATACAATCAAAAGAAGGGATAGGCTCATGACATCCACACCATAAAAAATAAAAGTCCCGTCGACCCCTGTGATCCGCGATACATTTCCGTATGGGGTAAGTGGTATGCTGGAAAGCTCCGAATATGCATGCTCTGGAATGTTGTCGACGCAAGGAGAATGTGTTAGCTCACGATTCTATACGATGATCAGATTTTGAAAAGGAGGATGATGATCAGCCGAAGTTCCGTTCAGCAACTTCCGCGAGAAATGTATTCTAGTCCCTTGTGATTGCTGTGGAACGAATGCTTCCCGAGGCATCTTCTGTGATGATTCGCTATGGCTCTGAGGATATGAAGGCTTGAGGGAAGGGGCTCTTTTAAATAGCTCTGATTAGTATTTACGTCCATTAAGCTATTCATAACTTTGATTACTATATATAGAGAGTTTCTCGCTGTTCGGTTGTCATCGGCATCGCGGTATAGCCCATCTGAGTATTAGTTGATTGGTACATTGTACAGGGGGTATTATGAAGGCTTGAATGGTGTTACATGCTCTTTGAAAGAGCAAATCCCCCTTCATCCCGAGCTCTCTCATGGTCTTCTGTGCCTCAATTCAGAAGACTTACACAAATGGAACTCCGAATTATGTGGTATTACGTAGCTCGAGTATCTAGCTCAGATCATTTCCTACAAGTCCAGCCAAGCTTTTCCCCCATCTCGCTTGACCCACAAGCCGCAATCCGTGATGCGGATCTGTGAAAGCGAACTCTCCTAGCTTACTTTACCTACGGGATGGACTTATCAACGTTTAACACGCTAGTATAGCCATTTGATTATTCTGGCTTCGCTCATGCATTGGCAAAGGATGCACAACACCCGTTGATATGGTCTCAGAACTTGACTATGACTTCTTTTTGGAAGATCTGCGGTCCCATTTTAGCTGCAGCCCTGAAGTTCATGTGCTCGTGTGAGATCCTCGAACCTGCAGTAACAGATTAGACTGCGAATATGCCATTAGAAACCGAAATGGTTAGTTGGCTGCTTTGATAGCTATGCAAAATTGAGAAGCAGTCGCGGGACATGGACTGACCTGTTCTTTATTGTGACCAAGAGCGAGTTTAAGCTTCCTTTACAGATCAACGAGGGGGAACTAGAACCACATAATGAGGAGGGGAACTACTTAGATATTTGGTTGAAGAGATTCAAAGGAAGTGCAAGAAGGGAAATGGTTGATTGTGTGTGTGTGAGGAAAGAGCAGCCGGGGAGTTTCACTGCACCTGTCGTTCTCTCTCTTCTCTCTTTTAGGCTCTCTTCTTGCCTAGGTACCAATCTCGACTCGTGGAAAACTCACCCTCTCATCCTCTCACCCTGATCTCGTCATAAATTCTTTTTCAAGTTTGAACTCTCCATCCAAGCCATCACTCAGCATGGCTGTCACGAACATCCCCGTCCCGCCGCGTAACATTCCGCGAGTGCTCAACATGCACGACTGTCTCATTGAGGTGACCCGTTTTGATAGTGGCCAGTCAACTGTCTTTTGGTTGGGAGGCTACTTGAACAACGAAACGTACATCAACCCAGACGGCACTTTCGATCACACCATGCTGAGCTACGAGGATTTCGAACAAGATCTGATGGATCACCTCTGTTTCGACCCCCATGAAGAAAATCTCCGATGGGATTACGACAGCCCATTTCAGCCTCGCGCGAGCCCCCCAAATCCCCCAGCTTTCATGGTTAGAAGTTACAACGCTTGGGTGGCTGCTCTGCTAGCCATGCAACACGCTTCCTCAAGCCAGGTCAACTCCGGTGTGCAATCTACCTCCACTGCGAGTTCTCCAATCATGACCGTTTACTTCGGTATTGCATGAAGTAAGTGACTCCTTCCTTTTTTGATTGAGTACCAGCGAACCATTGGCTAAATATAAAGGTGTACCCCTCAAATTGCAACAACGAGTGGGCCCGAATGCGCGGCAAGGATATCGTTGCAGGACGGATATTTCTTTCCAATGATGCTAGCATGCGATGCACGAAGGATTTCAGTCAACAGATCGGGGAGATGAAACGCAACATAACGGATCTTGCACTGGTGCCAGAGATAGGGGCCCGAGGGCTCTGGATGGATGCTCAGGGCGAAGAGAAATATCAAGGAGATATCTAGCTACTTCGAACTGGTGAAATTCAAATTAAGGATTGATAATACAGTTTCTTTTCCTTGCTATTTAATATGGTCCGTCAAAAATGTCAAACGAGACTCTCAAACGCACACTCTCGCAGCGACAACCCATAATGTGACGCCTACCGTTCTCATTGTTTGCCTTGACTGCTTCTAAACCGAGCTTTACCTGCTTTCTCATCTCGTCTATCTTTTCTCTAGTTCAAACCCCCTTGACCTTCACAATATCCTTACCGATACCGAACTTCCAATGGCCCACCGATGTAACTCAGACTTCCCCACTGTCTATCTTCCAGCCCAGAATAAGCAAGTTACTAGTTCTGTTCGTCGCAGAGTTCGACCTGTGGCTGGAGCACAAGCTTTTATTGTGCGAACTTCAGGTATCATGTCTCCAGTCCATCGGATTGACACTAGAGCCTTTGTCTCTAATCGCTATATTTGAGACACAGAAGACTCGAACCAGGAGGAAAATGACAACAGTGGTCAATCTTGGCTCGATGTATCTCAGATGGATTGAAAGTATCCAACGACTTAAAATGGACGGCGAAGCCGGACTTGACATCCTCCGCCCCACATTTCCAAGTTTCCTATTCAGAATGAGGGGAGAATACAAATATTCAACTTCCATTTCACGCTTCCCAGTAACCTGCTACATATTTAAAAATGGCCTCCATAACCCCATCCCAAGAAGAACTGCAGAGGCTCTACATCGGCAAAGACATCAGCGATTTACCCAAACCAGCCGCAATCCTTGATGTAGCAATCATCCGACGACACTGCGAGACAATGCTACGCACAATCAAAACGCTCGATGTCGGATTCAGAGTTCATGTTAAGTCACACAAGGTAAGAGACCTCAAATGTCATATTCTCCACATAATTACATTCAACTTATGAATATCAGACACCCGAAATCGCCAAGCTCCAAATTGGCGACAGCACCGAAGCCAATTTCGTAGCTTCCACAGTCCTAGAGATCGAGATGATGATCCCTCTACTACAGGATCTGAAACAAAAAGGCTGCAAAATTAACATTCTCTACGGCATCCCCCTCGTCCCATCACAGGTTCCACTACTAGCCAAGGCAGCCCGCGAGCTAGGCGAGAACAGCATCACTGTGATGATCGATCACCCAGATCAACTCCCCTACCTGGAGAAACTATCTTCTCTAGCAGGACATCCAACATGTGTCTTTGTCAAGGTCGACACGGGCTACCACCGCGTCGGATTGCCGCCCGTATCCCTCAATAAGAACGGGTTACTCGAGAAACTTGCCTCCGCAGAGGAAACAGGCGGGGCAAGACTCCTCGGATTGTATTCACACAGTAGTTTGAGTTATAGCGGAACAACCCCCGAGCAAGCGATGGGCCATTTGATCAGTGAGATCCGTGGATGCAAAGATGCCTTGGAGAGAAATTCGCATCTACTATCCAAAAGGGAATTGATCATTAGTGTTGGTGCGACCCCACAGGTCGTCTCGTCCCAGAACTTGCTGCGTGAGGACTCTACCTGTGCGGAAGCGCAGGAGCTGAAGGCTTTGCTTCGCGAGACAAATGTCGAGCTGCATGCTGGCGTCTATCCCATCCTGGATATGCAGCAATTCTCCACAAAAGCTCGTGCTGATTCTGGAGTTCTGGAGGATGAAATTGCCATCTCGGTGCTCGCTGAAGTGTGCAGTGTCTATAACGACGGTGAGCGCGAGAAACCCGAGGCACTCTTGGCTGCGGGCACGCTTGCACTGGGTCGAGAGCCGTGTCCAAGTTACTCGGGCTGGGGCGTTATTTCTTCTTGGCGGATGGATGGATTGGGTAAAGCTTCACCGGAGAGATTGGTCGTTGAGAGGATCAGTCAGGAACATGCGATTGTGACTTGGGAGAGTGAGGCGCAGGCGAAGATTCCCCTGCGAATTGGACAAGTGGTTAAAGTGCACCCGAATCATGCTTGCGTTACTGGTGCCTTTTATGGATGGTATTTTGTTGTCGATTCGGATCAAGACAGGGAGACTTCTCGGATTGTGGATGTTTGGGTTCGGGCGAGGGGATGTGGTATGAGGGCTTGGTAGAGTATACCTGCAATTTCGGACCTCGGGGTGCCTCGGGGATATCTTCCGCTTATGAACTAGTGTATCGCAGTGCATAACCATTGTGAGTAGTCTGATCCACTATAAACCCTGCATCATCCCCCCGAATTTTGGACAAGTGAAAGAGCATAAGCTCTCAAAATGAATGACAGGGCGGGTATCCTTTTCACGGAGCGTTATATTTGCTGTAGTGGCGATGTTGCAATAGCTCAGCGAGTATTCCATATACCTACGTACAACCGAAGTAATAAGTGTGTTGGTGGACTGACCTATACACCTCGGGAGCCGATACCCCTGGGGTGGGGATTTGTGGAGTAGCAGACTTCTGGTAAAACGGGTTAGATCAAACTTCCCTGAAGAATTCAAAAATCCTTCGAATTCGTGGAAAGTTGAATAGCAACCCAGCTTCCCCACAGGGTCTGTGGAGAGAGGCGGCATAATATTTACCCTAACTTCAATCACCGAAGTTACCCCGGCTTTAGAACCGCTTGTCACTTCTATAGATAAAAAGGAGTCCATCCCCTTTATCTGGGGTTCTTGTATATCTCCCTCGACATAGTTGAGAGAGTGCAGAACATCATGCGGTATTCTCTATGGGCCTATACGCTTGTGGTGGCTTCGGCTGCCGCAACAACAACTTCACTGACTGACATCTGTACCACCGCGTATGCGAAGAAGGCCTTGCCAGTAGATGCTATTCAGGGCGTTACCGTGGATCCATCTTCGATTTCCACAAGTCTTGTCACCAATTTCACCGCAGAAAGCATCTTCTACCCTACCTCCACCTTCGATTACTGCAATGTGACTTTCGCCTACTCTCATGATGGCATTGACGGGGATGTTGTTCATGTGCAATACTGGCTTCCAGCCCCAGGGCAGTTTAAGAACAGATATGTGTCCACGGGTGGAGGTGGTTGGGCGATCAACTCAGGGTCCTCGTCAATCCCTACTGGTGTCATTGTTGGCGGGTAAGAATTTCCTCGTTTACTGCTCGCTGGGATGAATACTTTGACTAACATATTGAATGAAGTGTTGGAGGTTTGACCGATGGAGGATTTGGAAGCTTCACCACCGAATTTAGTTCCGCTGCTCTCTTGGAAAATGGAACTATCAACTGGCAAGCGACTTACATGTTTGGTAAGACCTTTATATCTCGAAACCCACAGCTTATGAGCCAGCTAACATAAGAAACAGGCTACCAAGCCCAGCATGAGCTCGCTATTTTGGGCAAAGAACTGACAAGAAATATTTACAACGTACCATCTGGCGAAAAGATTTACTCCTACTATCAGGGCTGTTCTGAGGGAGGCCGCGGGGGATGGAGCCAGGTCCAACGGTTCCCCGATCAATTCGACGGTGTGGTCGCCGGTGCTCCAGCCTTCCGATGGGCACAACAGCAAACCAACCATTTGACCGGAAACGTCATCCAGAAAACCCTTGACTACTACTCGCCCAGCTGTGAGCTCGAGAAGATCATGAACATGACCGTCGCTAGCTGTGATCCCCTGGATGGCAAGACTGACGGTATTGTATCACGCTCCGACTTGTGTTTGAAGCATCTAAACTGGGATTCCATCCTGGACGCTTCTTACTCCTGCCCTGCTGTCAGTGGGTCCTCATACGCGGGCGCCACACCTGCACAGACAGGCAAGGTATCTGCCAAAGCCATTGAAGTCATCAAGGCCTTTTGGAATGGTCTTCACGACTCCGACGGCAAGCGAGTTTACTTCAGCTACCAGCCTGGCTCGACTTTCGACGATCTTCAAAGCGCATATGATTCATCCACCGACAGCTGGGAGCTTGACATAAGTGGTCTCGGTGGCATGTGGATTGGTCTGTTCATTGATCTTCTGCAGGAGACCAATATTCCCAACCTAGACGGCGTGACCTACGATACCCTCAAGGAATGGATAATACTTTCCCAAAACAAGTACGGAGATATCTTCCAGACAACATACCCAGACTTGTCGGACTTCCAAACCGCCGGTGGAAAGGTTATCCACGTCCATGGAGAACAAGATTTCTCAATCCCTACTGCGTCTTCAGTCCGTTACTGGAATTCAGTCAGGGAAGTTATGTTCCCCAATAAGTCATACACTGCAGGTGCGGCCGCTCTCGATGATTTCTATCGCCTGTTCCTCATTCCTGGCGTGGGGCACTGTGCCACAAACGAGTACCAACCCGACGCCCCATGGCCACAGACAACTCTACAGACTCTCATCGAGTGGGTTGAGAATGGCAAGGCACCGGCAACACTGGCTGGGTCTGGAGAGATTGAGGAAATGTGCCGTTGGCCTCTTCGTCCACTTTGGACTGCAAACGGCAAGAAATTCCAATGTGTCCATGACCAGGAATCGATTGATAGCTTTAGTTACGATTTGGATGCGTACAAGCTTCCTGTGTACTAAGCGGATAACTTGTCGAGTGAGACCTGCTTCTCTTAATTATACAGTTCTCCAATTCAAGTTACGAGTGTTCCAATTATCAATATTCTCGACTCTCCGGATAGAGGCCCACTACGGGCGACTAAGTATGCCACTGATTCATAACAAAGTAACTATACAGTTGAAGATAACGCTGGTTTAAAAAAGAGATGTAATCTGACCTTTAAAGGGGTTAAGATTAAGATTAATGGTTGGTCGTACTATTATAAAGTTGATTAATTATATAGTCAAAGGTTATATACAAAAAAGTCTAGGAAAGTCTTTTATATAGAATATACTTTTTTACCGCCCTCGTAAATACCAAAACAGATATCCCAAAAGACATCTAAAAAGAATATAACAAGGCCGTATAAGCGGCTGATCGCAATTCTTGTCTTGTATATGCCTCCGGCAATGAATGAAGCGGTAGCATACTTAGTCGCCCGTAGACCACCCCACTCTCTTCTCTTTCACATATACTCCTCTTAAACGATATAACATGGAACCTGCTCAGTTACAGCTGGCTTGCCATTTAGCACCCTTACTACGAAATGGTGGCACAACGCACCCGTCTGTTCACAATGACCGTGTGGCTTGTGAACTTTACATATTTGGAGATTAAGGCCAAGGGTCAAATGAAAAGTCAGATTGATGACTTTCTATTCTGTACAAAATCTGCCTGTATCCATTAACTCAACATTATAAGTCTCCTAGAACACAATGGCACCGCCATCAACCACAATATCCGGATCATTTATATAGGCACCTGCGGTACTCGCTAGTAACACGACTGTTCCCGTCAGCTCTGACGGACTACCCATTCGACCACTGGGGTTCCGCTCAGCCCAAAGCTTGCGATGCGTGGCAATTCCATCGCCTTCATTGAGAATTGTATCCATATACTCAGGGCTTATACTGTTGGTGCGAAGACCGTAGCAAGCCCATTCGGCAGCCAAGCAGCTTTTGAGCATAAGGAGCCCAGATTTGCTAACATTGTATGCCACCTGTGGCTGCGGGTAGTTAACACGGTGTGCTGAAATCAAATAAGACACCCACTAAAGTACTACAGTTGATGGTGTTGTTTACTGCGCCAAGTATGCCGGCGAGGTATTCAAGCACCAGGGTTTCGGCGATCTTATCATCACCTCCAGCATGAGTGGCCACGTCGCTAATGTTCCTGTTGACCAGCCTGTCTACAACGGCTCAAAGACCTACGTTACTCATTTTGGAAAGTCTCTTGCCCGTGAATGGCGCGACTTTGCGCGAGTTCATATCGTTTCCCCCGGATTCTTCGATATCAAATTGGGTGCCAGCCCTCTTTGTATTCAAGAAGCATACCGTACGTCGTCTATGGGACGACAGGGCCATGTCAAGGAGATCAAAGGGTTGTACCTCTACCTTGCTAGTGATGCCTCCACGCATATGACAGGCAGCGATGTCCTTATTGATGGAGGTTATGTTTTGCCCTAAAGTATGACACCTCGCTATAGAAATTGAGTCAAAATTGCCAACTCCAACTTTGTGGTATTCGGTAATCGATGCTCTTGTGAAGGCATGTATCACAAAGTCGGCGCGCTGTCGTCCGACGGGAAGCTACAGCTACTAGTCTGCTTTTGAGATGCCTAACGCACCCCGGGCCCGTATAGATATGAGTTACTTGATATAGGTCACATACTACCTATTTAGTCATGAAAATGCGAGTCAACAACAAGGATTGGTATGTGTGCCGTTCATACCATTCACAACGTGACCACAAGCAAATGTGCAAACCAGCTTCTTCATATAACATGATGTGATTATCGTCATCCGTATTTTAGGGGCCGTGCTAATCATCTCTGCGTATTCTAACTTTATCTCATGTTAAAGAGCGCGCTCAAGCAACCTCAAATTCGGTAGAGATATTCAAATCCATCCATGGATGTATGGTGTAAATTCCTGCGCCGTGGTTGGTCGATTACAGATATAATGACCCGCTTTTCCGCGCGGTGTGGATCTCGAACACCCGACCCCATTGGCCGACATGTCATCACAATCACTCATATCAGTATAAAAAGACCCGCACCATATAACCTCGAAATAGGATCTCAAAAAAAAAAAAAAAAAATGGGTAGCTTCTCTTTGATTGAGCGTGTCATCCTTAGTGCAGGGGCTATGCTAATCTTCTCTGTATATTTTCATTTGACCATATGCCCCGAAGGGCGATATGTCATTCATTCAGTTCATTATAACCTCACTTTTTGGCAGAATTACACCGCCTAGGCTTGCAGGCCTCATTGTCTTGAGCACTAAGGAAGCTATTTGTTCTCTAGTGTATCTCTAAAAGTATATAAACACATGAGAAGCAGTGAGAATACATTCTAAGCAAACTAGACAGCATGGAACTACAACACAAGTTCATAGAGAGCATGTGGAATAATTTACAAAGAACGAAAGTGGGAAAGAAAGTGGTATCTTCAGAATCTGAGAATTTTACAATCAGGAACAATAAGAGGGGGAAAAAAAGGAAATGAAATGCTGGATGGCACGGAGGCCTCGTATGCGCCAAGAGATACCCAAAAGAAAAGGCCAGCCTGGCCACCAAACCCAAATGCAAATGATTGTATGGACCCAAAAGTACAAAGGAGTCTATGCTTAATTTTCAACAGCGTTGCGCCGAATCACCCATTTCCAGACACCAAAAATAGAGCAGTAGAGTCTTGAGTCGAAGGAGAACAAGGGAATAACGAATTAAAGTGTCCCCGACGATCAGGGAGAAAAAGAAAGGAGTAGAAGAAAGGCGATGTGGGCTCAGACGTGCGATTGAGAGAGACTCGATCTCGATCTCGATCGCTGAGACAAAGAGCGTCGGCCACGGCTAGAGGGCGCGCGGTCCACTGACGGTGCATGCTCGAAGAATGGAATCAGATCCGGGTTTTGGCTAGGGGGTGTCTTGGAGGTAGCGGAATACTCGTTCAAGATACGGTCATCAGCAGCGGTATCCGGGTGAACTTCAATGCCTTGCTCGCGATCAAGGCCGCTGTGAGGGCCGCCGTTTGTCGGGAAACTGATCTCGGGCTCGTTGTGGGGTCGCTCGATGGGAGACCATCCGGCAATACTACCAGCAACGATACCTGCCATAGCAGCGGCGGGTCCGAACGTCGAGTTCGATCGTGACCGTGTGTTCCGTCTAGAACGAGACTCGGGGGTAGCCGGCTGTGGGGTCGGGCTGCCGTTGTCGTTTTCATTGTCGCCGTTCGGCGTGGGCGGGGCGGAGGAATCACGAGAGCGGGAACCACTGCGGGACCGAGGAAGGAGTTCCTGGGGGTGTTGCAGCTTGTGGCGGATGTGTCGCAAACGGCCGCCGCGCACACTCTTGATGAAGGCGAGCTGATCGCGGATTTCCTCAAGGGCGGGGTTCCACTCGTAATTGCGGTCTTCGTCTGAGATAACCAATTCGGGACCCTTGTTGCGATGCCAAAAGTGGGGCACAAGCCTGGCAGCGAATTCATCTGGAATAAGACGAATGATCACGGCGATGGGTAAGGAGATTGCTCCAAGTACAAGACTCACGGCCCACTGCGAGCCTTGGTCAAGACGCTTCACAGAGAAAGCAGCGCCACCAACAAAGATGATCAAGATTTGACCTCCAATAATGATGAGCTGAATACCAATGAACCAACGGTTCTTCCAGATACCTTCCAGAATATTGAGCTTGTTGTCAATACGACGAGAGTTGTACTGGTTGAAAATTTGCATAAATACGAAAGTGTTGAACACCACAGTCTGCAGGTGGCCGTGATCCCAAGAGAAAATCTTAGATCCGGCGAAATTCAGAACGAAGGTTACAACCAGCTGATAGATGGACTGCCCAATGATCATCTTCCACATTGTCAGGGTGATGAGTGGATCGGATTTCGATTCGGGTCTGCGGTCGAGCACTGTTGGTGTAGGAGGGTCTGTCGCCAAAGCGAGAGCGGCGAAGGTGTCCATGATCAAATTGACCCACAGCAACTGCACTGCGCTGAGCACTGAATCCTCACTATCACTAGCTACTGCAGAGACGAAGGTGAGAATAACGGCGGTGATGTTGACAGTGATTTGGAACTGAAGGAACTTCTTAACGGCGTCACAGACGGTACGACCCCATGCCATAGCCTTGACGATAGAGGAGAAGTTGTCATCCATGAGAATAATGTCAGAGGCCTCTTTGGCAACTTCGGTACCAGTGATACCCATTGCAAAACCAACATCGGCGTTCTTGAGGGCCTGGGCATCGTTGGTACCATCACCAGTGACAGCAACAGTCTCTCCAAGCTTCTTGAGTTGGTTCACCAAGATCTTCTTATCATCGGGGCTAGAGCGGGCGATGACCTGGAGTCTTGGGATGATTTGGTTCATTTGGCGTGAGCTCAGCTTGCGGAATTTAGGTCCCTCAATGGCGATACCACCGGGTGTGTAGATACCACACTCCTGGGCAATAGCCTTAGCGGTTATGATGTTATCACCAGTCACCATTCTAACAAACACACCAGCCTTTTGACATGTGTATACTGCCTCAGCAACACCTTCTCGGACAGGGTCTTGAATACCGAAGATTCCCAACATTGACATGTCCTTAAAGATAGGTTCGAAAACTGCCTGGTTGCGATCGGTTTCCGCAGTAGGAGCCCCACGGGGTGGCCATTGTTCGAAGTCACGGTAAACTAGGGCAATGCATCTGAGAGACCGGGTGGCGTAGTTGTTCATAATATTATCAAGTGAACTCCTCTCCTCGTCGGTAACAGGAGCCTCCGACAGCGAGTCGGTGGGATCTCGGACAATGCGCGTCGACTTGGCGGCTAGAATCTCCGCAGCGCCCTTGACTAGCATTCTGTATTTTCCATTCTCCAGCTGGACCACAACTGCCATGCATTTGCGGCCTGAGTCGAATGGGAACATCTGCGCAAGCTTGCCGTTTGCTCTCGCTTCGCCAAGAGGCCCCATTCCGAGGTAATCTCTCGCGAAAGTCAAGAGCGCAGTCTCTGTCTTGGATCCAACGTATGTCTTAACTCCTTCGGCCTCGCCTTCAAATGCGGTTGAGTTGTACACAATCGATTGGAGCAAGACATCCTTCACCGAGGACGATAGGGTAGAGACGAAATCCGAGGGGGTTATTTCACTCTGGTCATCGGACGAGACACCAGAATACTTTCCGAACCGAGACGTGGTACCCAACGTCGCAGCCACCGCAGTCATTTTATTCTCCGTCAAGGTTCCAGTTTTATCAGAGCAAATCGTGGTAGCGTTACCCATGGTCTCACAGGCTTTGAGGTAGCGAACTAGGTTGTTGTCTTTAAGCATTCGTGTTGTAGCAAAGGCCAGAGCGAGTGTAACAGCCAGTGGTAACCCTTCAGGTACTGCGACAACGACAATTGTAACAGCAACAATGAAAATCTGCAGGAATGCTTGACCCTTGGCGTCTGCACCACCCTCGATGTCCTTGAGACGAACCAAAAATTTGATGAAAAGGACCACAAACAGCAACAAACCAGAAGCGAGACCAAGCTTGGCAATGTACTCGGCCAACTTGTTGAGCTTGGTCTGCAGAGGTGTGGTCTCGCCCTCCTCTTGAAGGGACATCATCGTCCGGCCGTAGGTGGCGTGCATACCGGTAGCAGTGACCAAAAAGGTGCCGACGCCCTCAGAAACCTTGGCACCGGAAATGATGAAAGGATCCATCTTCTTGAGATCTTCGTGCTGCTCGATTGTCCGGTACACTTCATCGCCTGGGGTTTTACGGAGAACGTCAGACTCGCCAGTAGCTGAAGATTCGTCGCACTTGAGGTCGTGGCCTTCGATCAAGATCCCATCAACTGGGACCATATCACCAGGTTCCAGAAGCATCAAATCGCCAACCAAGACATCGTGGATGGAAATTTCCTCCGTTCGGCCGGACCGCGTCACCTTGACTTGTCGATTTTCCTTCTTTTTGTTGAGTTTCGCAAACTGTCGTTCCTTTTGCCAATCGTTCGCTGCACCGACTGTAACCACGATAATAATGGCCACGAGGATTGCCAAGCCTTCAACCCATTCGACACCAGGTTCATCGGGATTTGCTGGATGGAGCGATTGCGGAATTCCCACAGCAAGTGAAACTGCAGCTGCAACCGTCAATAAGATCAACACCTTATCGTTGTAGGCAATCCACGCAAGCTCCCAGATAGATTTCAATTTCCTCTCTGGAAGCCTATTATCCCCGTAGACACGTCTGCGGTCGAAAAAGTCTTCTCCGCCCTGGGTTACGATGGAACTCTCGGTGGCGGGTGGCGGTGATGTATTCGGAGAGGCAGACTTGGGTATATTCTTCTTTGGCGAGGAAGGTGAGGAAGGTGAGACAGATGAAACAACCTCGTCAAAACTGACAGTTCCGTCAAGGGTCGTCTCATCAACACTCAAGCCACTTTTTACATCAGTTCGAAGCCCTTTTTCCAATCCTCGCAGACCTCCCAACGCGTGAAAGGCGCTAAAGCTTTTCGGGTTTAAAAGCTTGTTCAGCTGACCAGGGGAAAAAGCAAACTTGTTGTCCTCAACCTCGAACTCGGATTCGCGGCCGGGGTCTGGGGTCAGCGCATCCTCATCGTGTATGTCGTTTATGGGGGCGTTCTTGGCCAAATCGGATCTCGATTCGTGAGATGTTGAGGGCACATATGTTTCGCCGCCGTAGGTGCTCGATGTTTGACCAGTCTCATCCGACTCCAAGGAGTTGCCTCGAGAGCGTGTTCCAGGAACAGAGAGGAAGTTTGAGTGTGCGTCAGGTGCCTTCATCTTGGGTGATGAGATGTTGTGTGGGGAGGTTGGCCGGCTCTCTCGTTCACGGGCTTCGGAGGAGGCATTGGAGCGAATCGAGGCTGTGGATCGCATATCCGTAGGGGAAACACTGCCATTGTTTAGCAATGCTGTTGTGTCGGGGGCTTGTGCATTATCGGTGTAGGTCTGTGATCCTCCAGAGAGGACTTGGATGGGAGGGTGCCCGGTATCAGGGGAGTTCACGGCCGAGGTGTCGATTGTAATAGTCGGCGCGCGCTCTCTGCGCAGGGTTGATTGGCCCGGCTCATCTTTTGGGCGTGGGTCAGACATTGTGGGAGTGTCTATTCAATGCGCGATTCATGCGTGGCATACACCCTTGTAGATGGGTAGTTCATGTGGATCAGGAGAAAGTAGAGAATGATAAGAACTCCATAAACTCCTAGACTCCCCAGGTTGTAATGTAAGGGTTGAAAGAGTGTAAAAGTGTAAAGGTGTAAAAGATAGGAGAGGCAAGCGGCAAGGTAATACTTGCCCCCGTTGGAGACGTCAATTGTCTCTCCACTCCGACGGGTCGAGAACTTCATTACGGAGTACCCTAAATTACTTAGATTACTTAGATTACCTGGATTATACATTACCTACGTAGTATTGGATTTCTTCCCATTTTGTGGCCTTCGATTTCTCCACTTTGGGTATCCGCTTTGCACAGCCCCTACTGGATTTCGGATTATTTTATCGTAGATGATGTACCCCATTTCATCGATGATATATATAACATAGCCCATCAATCTTATAACATTCCTGTCTGTAAGAAAAATGAAGAAGAAAATTCTTCATATTTACGTGGGTAATTAACGAATAAGGAGCAAATCCCGCAAAGACCGCCAATACCAAGCTATATAGCGCCTGCACTGCCTCACTTGCCAAGACATGGACATGCTCAACATCCCGATTCGGCAAAATAAGGGGGCAATATGGAAAAAAATAATGTAAAAAAAATTTGAAGAGAGCTTGAATAATGTTAAACTTGGATCTATTTGGAAATGAAAGAATTAACAGATTCTATTAAAGCCCAGACGGTATCTATTCATCTCTAATCCAGCCACCTAATATGCCCTTGAACAAACCTTGAACAAAGTGATGACGTCCCCTATTTACAACGATGATCGACGTTGACGGAGTCCGACGTAGCATGTGCAAGACCTGTTCTTTTTTTCATCTATAAAATCAAACTCTGATTTCCGGAACTTAACGGACTAGTAGAACATCCCAAGGTTTAACTGGTTTCTCATGCCAAGGAACTTGCCATTGGGGATTATAGCACCACATAAACACAGACTCAGCCACACTCAGACCACATCTGATCCTTGCATCCAAGCATCGTACGGCATAAATCAAGGTACTTCGTAAACACAATGCATTAGACTGGCTCAAACCCATCAAAAGTTTGGAACTGTTACACAGAGCACATGAAATAGACCTAGCTCAGTCCTACGCAAATCCAAACCAGCCGAATCGGGCATATATATATATACGTACGTTGTACAAGATATACCTCCTATACTACAGATTTTCCATCAGCCCCAAAGTAACACCTGTAGTACATACCAAAAGATAGCACCAAATCTAAAATCTTATTCTCCTCAAACTAATCCCGACAACCATTCCACCACCTCCCAAACACACAGAGCCCAATTAAAACCCAAAAGCCTCAAAAGCAGGAAATGTCAACCTAGCCAACAAATATGGCCTCACCGCCGTCCCAGCCTCTGCCCAAGACCTCCTCACAAACACACCCTGCCCAGCATCAGCCGTCCCCTCAACCCCAATCCCACAAACCACAAACCCCACTAGCACAGCGCATCAATGTCTATGCACGCACACACCTCCCCGGCCAGACCTACAACCACTCATAACGAGTGTATTATTTTAGGCTTGCAAACGATCCCGATTCCTGTTTGCAGACTGGGACTTCGACGATGAGACTTTCCTCCTCGCTTGTTTGTTGCATGGTATTGGGACCACGGAGGCCAATATCACCGCCACCAGGCTAAGTTTTGAGTTCTTTGGCGGCGTGTTGGCATTGCGCGTCTTGCGGAATGATACCCATGAAGACGAAGACGAGGCTAATGTAGGTGTCCATGTTCGTGAGCGGGGGGAGTCTATCCGGGCTTCGGGCCCGCGACGGCCCCGCGTGAACACATCAGGGTTTGTTTCTCGTTGGTAATATCACCGTTATAGAACAATTGCTGCTGTTAGCGACGATCTTTGGTATTTATATGCTTAATTCTTATCAGCTGACGGCTCTATCCGCGCGGTCTAGGTGCTCTGCTTGTATACATATCCCTGCATACGTTCCTGATACCCCAGATCACTGACCTCTCCCTTTGGTATCTACGTCTGTGTGTATCAACATGTTTTGTTTCAAAGCATTAACCTCACTTTGTCTTGATCGAGATCTCATGGCTCGTGTTATCAGAGGCGAACTGCCGCATTGATCTAGGGCAAAGTTCCTGGGCACACAATCGTCGTACCTCGCACCTATCTGGCTCCCGGCCCACTAGACCCTCTCGACGAGGAGTATGACTCACCCAATGCAGCCAGCCAAGCTGCTACTCGTGATTTGATGGCAGGTCATCGGGTTCATCGACCACACAACTGGGACCAAAGGTTAAGGATAAGGCCGCGTTGACTGCTCTTGCGGAGAAGTTTAGTTTTGAGGTTGAGGCACTGAAAGTTCCAGCGTGACGGCAGGGACCAGAATGTCGTTGGAATATATAGGTTTGAATCCTGTATTGTGCCCCTAGTCTTCGCTTGTTATCCATATCCTATATTTATAAACATACACGATTGCTATACAGATTCTGTAACTTCACCTCTACCAGGTCTGCCTATTAATGAAGCTTCCATTACCCTGACGACCTGACAGTTTACTGGATTGTATTCATATCCCGTACCTAGTAAATCCCAACCTTCTATAACATACAAGTAAATACCTACTAGTAGCTGCTGGTAAGACCCCGACAACCTGATGACCCCCCCATTCAAAGATTCTTTATTCTGTTTGATTTTTTGATGCAAATAAAACGCAAATAGACAGAGGAAGTAGAACTGCCCCGGGGGCCTTCCCCTAACTAAGCCCGGAGAAGTCCACGGCTTCCAGGGTTGTTGATGACCCATCCCCCCACCTTACACCTCCGGACAAACACTCCTGATATGCTCACAGATCCGCTTCGCCGCCTCCTCGGCGGTGAAATTAGACACATCGAGTTCCAAATAATTTGGGTGGCTAGTGAAGCGATGTACATTCACTTCGCCACGGAACTGGGTGACAAGCTCTACGTCAGTCAGCTTCGAGTGCAATTCTCTATCCGACGAGACCAGGCGTTGCATATTGGTCTTTTCATCGCAGAAGAGCAGGATAGGTACGAGGACGGCCTGTCGTGCTTCTGCAGTTGCGAGATATTCTGCGCACACGGCCGTGCCGAGGTCGTCGTCGCTCTGGAAATCCGTAAAGATGTAAGTTGTGTCGAATGTTGCGGGCTCGTTGGCGAGGGCAGAGAAAATAGAGCTCCGGATTCCGCGGCGGAGGTTTTGATAGCCTGGCTGGGTGCGGTGGAGAACAGCGTCGGCGGGGTTTATCAGAAGGTGGTTATGCACGAGCTTTGCAGAAGGGAGTTGCTTTAGAAGGGAGTGGGCGATGGTGAGCTTTCCGACGCCTGGGAAGCCATTGAGATGAACTATCGGGCGCCGTGGTTCAGGGATTGATGAAATAGTCATAGTGGGTGTGACGTGGTGGACAGATTGCATTACAGAAGAGTTATGCAAGTGTGAATTATTTGTAGAACAGTAAGGCCCGGAATTTAGGATAACGATGGTGAGTGTCGCCTAGTTTCTAGGACAATTCTTTGTTTGTATAGATAAGTCTAATCAGAGATGATTTTATTGGTCATATCCCAGTGTTGTAGGGCCACCAAGCTTTACCTTGTGCAGGCACGCTAGATTTTGCACTCTCAGGAGTTTTAGCCACGAGGGCTGACCTGCATAGCGGGGAGGACAGATTGCAGCCCTTGAATGAGCGAGTCAGGTAGATCTAAGGCATTTCGAATGCAGGACTAGGACGATATAGGAGATTATTGTTGACAAACAACGATGTTGTGCATTCGTAGATGTCCTATTGACATGTAGTAGCTGTAGTAAAACGAAGTAACCTGTCCTCCTTCCATATTTGACCCAGTTTCGTTCATATCAGAGCCTCGCCGTTAAAAAAAACTCAAATCCACTCGAATCCCATGCTAATGTACACAGAACAAATCGTCGCTAGATCTACTGCTCCCGATCTGCGGACGATACAATCCCAAGCCTCTTCTTTTCTTCTTCGGAGATCGTGACATCCCAGATCTTCAGTTCCTGGCCCTTTTCGAAGGTGGTATGGTCCATTGGGGACTTGCGCTGGCTGGAGTCCCGGATGACTAAGGCCTTGCTCGACAAAGCGAGGACATCAACAAGCTCGGCCATGCGTCGTGACTTTGTAAAGGCGCGAGTAATGTGCTGGTAGTTTGCAGCCCAGATAGACACAATCATGCAGGATGTCAACAGGTCGTGGCGCTCGAGGGTGTGACTGGCGTAGTACAAGGCGTTGTGCCAATCAAGAAGTAGTTCCGGAATGTAGGTTGTCCGAATGTGTTCGAAGTCTTGCTCTTCCTCGGCTGTAGGAAATATTTAGTCTTGAGATTCCAATGCGAAAATATCGAGTACATACCATCGGTGGATGTGGGTAGCCAGTCTTCAGCGACCACTGCGCCAACCCAATCTTCTAGAATAGTCACGCATTCGTTCATGTCTTGACCCATGCCCTTTAAGGTACCCGAGTCGCGTCGACGTTTGGTCCTGGGTTGGTTAGCTTTGATGATGCGATGAAACAAGGAAAGGAAGGACTCACTTGGACATCTGCTCGTGCACCAATGCAAATTGCTCCACAGCATCAAACCCGAGAGCCAAACTCTCCAGGTCTAGAACCCTATGAGCTTTGTAGTATGCCGAAACCAGTGCAATGTTGTTGGAGCCGGAAAGACTTCGCCGGTGGAGGCTGTTTCGCTTTGATTTGGTGGGGCTAGTTGGCGTAGTTGACTCGGTATGTGCGCCCTCTTGCGGAGGCATCGAAATGATATCGGATCCGAATTTTTCAATTGAGATATCAGCCAACCGAATACGGAAACTCACCTCGCGAGCAGCGGCAAGTTTATCAGCAACTAGTAAAAGTCAGTCTGACGGTTTCTCAATAACAGGAGCGACAAAAACATACGGAAGAACTTGCGGTACAGCCAGGATCCAAGATCGCAAATCTTATCCCACTGGCCATCAATGTAACGAAGCCACTCCAGACTGCGGATCATCCTGTCGTCTTCAGGAGCGACGGAGGTCCCAATCAAGTCGGTCTTGGGTGACACCAATGCCCGGGAGCCGTCAGGTCGTCGCAGCACTCTCGAATAACCAGTGACTCCTCTGGAATGTTCAATCGCAGAAACATGTTCCTTCACCCACGCCCATTGAACATCAAGAACAGTTTCCATGTCAATATGATGTTTCCGCGCGAGCCGGACTTGCTGTATCTTCTCTTGTGGGTCAACAATTTCAATGAGAATCTTGGATAGAACTTCGTGTCCCATTGGCGCGGGGAGGAGAGACACGTAAAGAGGGACAAGGTGGAAGAGACCCCTGTCTTCCAGGTTGGCAACATGTCCAGCCACGATAACCGATGCTGTCTCAACGAAATGGGCATCCACGCGGGCGTAGCCCCTCGCACTGGCCACAACGTAAACATGAGATGCAATCCTGAGCGCTTCTTCATCATCAGCAGCTATGAGGAAAGACTCGTCTACTGGCTTGCGTGCAATCTCTGGGATGACAGAGCTGTTCCCATATTTGTCGGTGCTAACTTGAGATACAGCGTGCGCCAGAGAAGTGAAGAATGTGTCGTAGCCTTTGCTGAGAATGGCAGCCTGGATGTTGCGGAACGGATTACGTGCTTCGCCGCTGACCCGGTCGTTACCCCTGAGATAGACAAGGAACTTTTGAAGTTCTTCGTGCCCAGCCGGCTCCGGTTTGAATGCCACAGGGGTGTTGGGGGAGTGGCTCAGTTTCCGCTGGAATTGCTTGCAAAATCCTTGATAACGCGAGAGCACGACGCGGTTGAAGTACACGTAAAGGAAGTCGTCCCAGCTACGGCAGACACTGGCCGCAGCATCGGTTTCGCCAGAAAGCAAAGCGTAGACCGCTCGCTGGAATTCATCGGTATTTGGGTCGCGTGTTAGCGCAGAGCAAGCGGTGCGCCATGAATCGTGGGATCGGCTGTTCATCAAGCGTGTGTGGCCATCGTCAGATGGGTATCGAGAACTTCCCGACTTAGGATCCACACTAGAACCGCACAAGCTGACGGCCCTCCATCCTTCCAGACGAGTCTCTGCCCATTCACGAATCTTAGTCCAGTTCTCGCCCTGTCTGAGCATCTTCCAGCAAGTTATCCAGTTGGCGCGCTCGAAGAATTCGTCCTCCTTTTCTAAACTGTGCTTCTGACGAGTGATAGCATCAGGGTCGAGTTGAGTGACTAGCGGTTTCTGTTCGCCTTTGCTCAAAAGCGAGCGCGAGATTCCCGGGTCGTTGGGGTCGAGAGGCTGTGGCCAGGCGCGCAAACGTTTGTGGCCCTTGATTGACTCTTTGGTATAAAGCCAACCGGATGTCCACGTTCCTTGGCCCCTGCGCGAGTATTGCTCCATTTCCGCGATCAGAGTGTCGAACTCTTGGCTTCCTGTCTTGGAGGTCTCCTCCAACCATCGCATAGCAACCACACATTCAAGGCCATATTGGTCGGCATTGAGGAACTCTTCCCAGATCTCGCGATCGCTTGAGTAGCGGTGAAGGTTCTGGAAAGCTGTCTGTCGTCCGGCCTTATAACTGGCCCGGCTGGAGGGGTCGTCAATGCTGATCAAGTTGAGTAAGAGGCGCCAAGTGTCGGCCTCGAGTTGCAATCGCCGTATCTCTTCATAATTCTTGGTGTCTTGCGACCCGCTCGACCGGAAGCCTGCCTTTGTCCGGTCCACGGTCTGTTGGGTCTCGATTTCCTTGATTGCGTTGTTAGCAATGTCGCGGTAGCTCTGCACAAGCTTGTATGCTGCCTGGGCACTGTTGAAATCGTCGGTAGAATTGTCGCGCTTGAACTGATCTAGCTTATCGGCAAATGCTTCAATCTGGCGAGTGACGCGGTCAGCCGTCCGGCGAAGGGGGTGCAGTGCTTCCTGGGCGCCTGCGGCGGTGAACAGCGGGGCATCTGGGATAGAATTTAGCAAAGGCGATTCAGACATTAGTTCTTGAACCAACCTTGAGACTTGACCGAAACGCCAAAGGCAGACTGCATAGAATGCTCAGGATCAGAAACATCGGACCCGGTCTCCGATACCGTGTCGCCATCCATATCTTCATCCATGTCCTCATCTTGATCTTCAGATTGGTCTTCCGATTGGTCTTCCGATTGATCTTCCGAATTCAGTTCCTCGTCCTCCAATTCTTCATCCTCATCGTAAGATTGTTGCGAATCATCGTCAATACTGATGACCTCAGTTTGCCTCGGGGCAACCTATACAAAAGGTTAGAATATAGCAAAAAGCAAAGAACAAAGAACACGGGCGCACCGGTGTGAATGCCCCAGCAGCCGACCGAGTTAAAGGTGCCATGATGGGGAGACTTAGATAGAAGGGGAGAGAGAGAGAGCCCTGGAGAGGAGCTCTGTGAAATAAGTTGTGTTTGTCTCTTTTGGTTTTCGCGTTGACAGACTAACCCCAAACAGGACTAGCGGCAACATCAGAAGCTATTTCAACGAATTTTCGCCCGGGCCCTTCTCTCTTTCTTTTTCTTTTCTTCTCTAATGTCTATAGGCTTTCATTAGAGTCTCGGTATGAAAACTCAATTTTCGTACAGGTCCATGAGGCCTCTCTGCGTGCTCACGATTGTCTTATAATAAATGCAGTTCTTCAATTAGCCTGGGTTCCTCCATATGGAACCTCAGACCGCAAGGGAATTGTGACATCCTCCATCTTCGACATGGGTCACTTGAAATTTAAAAGATTAAAAATACATAAACCAGCCTCACTGCTTCTCTGCTGCTTGAGCTCGTTGTTTCATCTTCAGCCGCAGCAAATTTGCTTTAGGGCAGCTAAGGGTAGACGCCTGGTCACCTTGCGCTTGGTAGAAGGCATTGCAGCATTCGTACAAAGCATCAATTTGTGCCTGGCATTTGTCCTCATTGAAGTCATTTTTCTGCAAGCAATCTGGCTTTGGTTAAGCTTTTGTTTTGTGTGAATATGCTATCAATTGGAAAATACCTTGAATGGCGCACTGTTGCATTGTCAGTAAGAGCTAGCATACCACCTAGGCACTCTTTAAATGGACGCCTTTAGGACAGGAACACATACAGCACGCGGTTTGCAGGGTTGATCGTGCGACAGATCTTGCTTTAAATTACCCTACAAGGGTCTTTAGCATCTAGGCAATATGTTCACAATGATAAATCTCATACCATAATGCAATTCTCAACCACTGTACTGTACAAACAGTTGTAGACACACTGTTCCTTGGAAGTGACGAAAGTGATAGAAGAGCCAAACGCAAAATAGATTCTCCGCCTTCAGACCGTGGGGCGAGTGCGCTATTCTGCCGCCGCCGCTGATCTCTCTTCTTCCTCTCTCTTCTAACTTCGTTTCCACAACCTTCACTATCTCGCTCCTGAGCTTTCGTCTTCTAGGTGAGTACTTCATAATTCAGATGTGCCCTCCAAAAAGCGTCGAATCCGCGGGCTAACCATCTTTGAACTCTTCAGACATAATTCAAAGCCCCGCTTGAACAGGTTCCTGAACTCGCTTCTACCGTTGTAAGCATTCTGCCTCGTCGCTATTCCGTGCCCTACACGAAGTAGCCGCCTAACAAAACCCAGACTACAACATCCATTCATCATGTCCGACAAAGAAGGCGCCGCTCCCGCCACCGAGCACCTGAACATTAAGGTGACTGATAACAACAACGAAGTTTTCTTCAAGATCAAGCGCACAACGCAGCTGAAGAAGCTTATGGATGCCTTCTGCGAACGCCAAGGAAAGCAAATGTCTACTGTTCGTTTCCTATTTGATGGCACCCGGGTTCGCCCTGAAGATTCGCCCGAAACTGTATGGACATCCCCCACCCCTCTTTTTTCGCCATCCATTGGTGTCTCGGAACTTTGAAACTGACTGCAAATAGCTCGATATGGCGGATGGCGACACCTTGGAGGTCCACCAGGAACAGATTGGAGGTTGCTAGACCAGAAGCTCTACATGCTAGAGTCGCACTTCCCAACGAAACGAGGCTGCTGGGGTGACATACGTGGGGGGATACGCTAGGGCTGATGGCCAGCAGTGGATAGAGGATCCTCATTGACGGCCCATGGGCGAAGGGCGGCGTTCATACTGCTTTTTTTCTTCTTATGAATGATGATTATCAAAGGTCACCTAGTCTTCTCTGCAGACTTTTAGGGTGCTTTCGCTATAACAAATTTCCCTCGAGGTCAACTCGACCGCATCCCGTAGTTTGATTTTGGCATAGGCTTTGTATTTATACCTAGGACCAAGAAACTGGGGCTTGTGTCAAACTAGTAGAGACTACTCTTTTCTAGGAGAGTGCAAATGTTACCACATTGTCTCGTTTATTATCGCCTTGAATTGTCTACTAGATCTCGATGCACATTTGTGCGTCGATATATACTATTGGTTGTCTCAAGAAACGAGTTAACAATCAATTCTTGGGCCAGAGAACCCGCATTCGATTGACCACCAGTGGATGTCTCTTCTCCCTGGGCTAGTAAAGTTCAAGAAAAACGTAAAACAACAAAGAGCCACCTATTCCCTGGTCCATGATAATACACCACGCAGAGAGAAGACATATAAACAAGACCAATTCAACAATATGTACACATGTATCGAGGGCCGATAGCCCCTGATATTATCCAAGATTTTCCCTCAAAGTATCCTAACTGTTCCAAATAGAAGCCTTCATCTTTTCTTCCTCCTCTTTAGCTTTAGCCTTCTCTTCACGCTCGCGATTCCGCCTCCGGATCTCCTGTTCCTTAATCGAGCGATCGTAGGCGCGCTGCTGCTCCGTCCGCTTCGGAGCGCGGATCCCCAATGCACCGGCTATCAACCGCTCCGCAACGGCAGTCTGCTTCTCCGGGCGACGGGTGGGAGGTCCCCGCGACGAAGCAGGAGAAGCAGCTCTCGCCATCCACGGGTGGGAAGTCTGCGGGGAGATAGGTGTGGGTGGGGGATCTAGCGGTCCCTCGGCACTGATGGTTGGCGATAGCACCGGGCTAGCATCTTCATCGCGGGGCTGAGCTTCCTCGCTTTCGGGATCAGAAAGGTCTGCTTCATCTTCCCAGGAGTCTGCGATGGGTTTGCGGGGTATTTTATTTGAGGTCACGGCTGCTGTGGGGATTTTTTTCACGTTTGGTCGGGAAATGTCTTGCACTGGGCCCTTTTCACCTATGGACAGGTTGCGGAGTGTGGATTCGAGTTCGGCGCTTGGATCAGACATGGCACTAGCACGTGGGAGTTCGGGTGTAAAGGGAAATAAATATACAAGAAGGGTACGGAGTAGTTAATGGTCAGGAAGATTAAGAATACAGTTCAATTTAAGAAAGATGTCTCGGCTCGAAATAGAACTAATGGCGTCAGCGCCGGGTGGCATCCTTGGTCGATCGTGGAGAAAAAAAGAAGGGCTAGACCTTTCTGGTTCGGCTTTGTGCCTTAGGATTGTCAGGCATCAATATAGTCTTCTATTTTTATTTCAGGGATAATAATGATAATCGAACATGTTTATAATGAATTCTTTAGGGGTTTAATGTACTTATAGCAACTTCAAATTATATGATGCCAAGTTTTTATTTGACCCCTTACATTGAAAACCCCGAAGCTAGCAAAAGAAACTGACTTATAGATCATTTCCCCCAGTTTGATGCCTATATGGAGTATCAAGCTATTGGTAACCTACATTAGATGAAGCAATATAACAATAACAATGCGGAGTAGCATAGTACACAATAAAACATCCCAAAAAAATGCTCAGTATCATTTTTGATCCTTTGACCTTCTATCTGTCTATAAATTCTCTCTAAACCCCTGCCCCCCCTCTACCACATGTACCATCATCGTTCTTTTCCAACATCGAATTGCAGAGCTACCATACCAAAATTATAAATATGAAATACGCCATCGCTACCGTCGCCATCCTGGCCAGTCTGTTCGGCCAAATCATCGCCTTGAGAAGTACCGGGGTCTACGAGATTCAATCCGCACGCTCTGGAGATGTTTGGGGGATTCAACAATCCATCGGTGTCAAACATCAGGTTGAGATAGTACACTACACCCGGAAGGTAAAAAAGCCGAGCACTGGCGTCTAGTCGCTTCCGGTCCCGACTTCTTTATAGAAAACATCTACACCGAGGGGATGCTTGCCTGCAAATATCAGTGCAAAGTGGACACACTTGGAAACGATGCACAGCTTTTCAGAGTCATCCAGAATGATGATAATACCTTCACCTTCCAACTCTCGGGAACTCCGCTAGTGGTAGCAGCTGGGGAGGGTGCTGAGTTGGAAGCTCAACACTCGGATCCATCAGTTGATGCGGCCTTCCTTCTTCATCCAATCGACAGCGAGTGTGAGTGACTATAATTACCTTGCCTTTGAACTTTTCAGCTATTAATCTGATATCTATCATTGAAATAGAAACAGGATGACACGAGGCTTCTACTTCAAAGTGGGCATTTTGGTGATTGGCCATGATTGAAAGGGAGATTGGTGATTGATTGAAACCATGCCAGGTGAATTAGATGCTTTCTAAGGTTGTACTAAGTAGATAGTTGATTAACTGGAGAGTGACACATCTCGAACTAGAGATACATACCTTTTATATCATCCATGAAATACCTATTATCTAGACTATATCTAGCTCGGATTGCAAAATAATTGCTTTATTAGGCAATATCCCCGAGGTCAGCACAAAGGGGCTGGACTGATTTCCGGTCCCGGACCCTCGACGTACAGCTTTAAGACTAGGACGAGGTTTCTAACACAGTAAACGCCATTTACGATGGACTATGAAAGAGAAGAATCATGATGAGCATATATTTATGACCAAGTCTTACTGCTGATCTCGGTTTACGCCTTCTACAATGTGCTGTCCAGCCATATCGGCATACCTCCACCGGCACATCTGGTGGATTTAATATACTTAACCTTTGAATCAGCCCATTCGAGGCTTTGCTTTGACATGTAGGGCGAATAAGAGGTTTAACCAGGCAGTGAAGTTAGAACAATCTACCATACTTGCAGTATTTTCAGATTTGACAAATGAATAGTCAACAAAGGTTTACCCTGGAACCATGCCTTTCATGCAGACTTCATCTATCATGGCCGAGAACTCTGGGCACCATGGGCCCTCAAAGAAAGATGGACGTAAGAAATATATGTGTGCGTCTATAGCTATATATATATCTTTGATATATAAAAATACCGGGAGAGAGAAAAGAAGTTGGTTTCTCTTCGTGACTTTCTATATGGAATATCCAAGCATATTCCTTTGGAATCATGGTTGAAATCCGCGCTGCAGCCATCAAATGCACGGAGGTGACTCCCCAATACCCAGTTGAGAACACCATCTACGGCTACGCGCCCGACTTTGTGCTGAGCATCGAATTCTGTTTGATCTTCGGTGTTTGTTCTTTGATACAACTCGGCCAGATCATCAGATGGCGCCTATGGTCGTTTAGTGCTGCTGTGCTTCTCGGTTCTTTGACTGAGATGATTGGTACGTCAAATTGCAACTGCGCGAAAATAACAGGTTGACTGTTCCCGAAAAGTATTGACACAAGGGAATAGGCTATTTTGGTCGCATATTGCTCAACCAAAACCCATATTCATCCGCTGGTTTTAAGACGCAGATTTGCACTTTGACAATAGCACCTGCTTTCTGGTCAGCGGCCATATACCTGACGCTGAAGCATGGCGTGAACATCCTGGGGCAACAACACTCGACACTAAGGGCGAAATGGTATCCTTACATTTTTGTCACCTGCGATGTCATCTCGTTGATTCTCCAAGGCGCTGGTGGTGGCCTTGCGGCAGCAGCTAAGACATCCAAAACCAGTGACATGGGCAGTAATGTCATGCTAGCTGGGATCGTTTGGCAAGTTGTTACCTTGACGGTATTTGGGGTCATGTCGGGCCACTTTCTTCTTCGTATAAAGAACGCCCCGAAAGATGGATTGACGGCGGAGGCCCACAAAGTTTGGAACAGTCGCAATTTCTGGGTGTTTTTCTGGGGTATTTTTGCGTCATTTATGACAACTTATATCCGTTGCGTCTATCGGTAAGTCATTGGCTAAATCATTTCAATCTCTGTAAGTACTAATATTGGGGTTCCCAGTATCGCGGAGATGGCTGGTGGGTGGAAAAACCCCATAATGCAGGAGGAACTTGATTTTACAATCCTTGAATCGATGTAAGCTACCCTTTGGCAAGGCAACCGGTTAGGGATTTCAAGGAGCTGATATGTAATGGATCCCAGAATGTGTGCTATCGGTGTAATAGCCCTATGCGTCACCCCTCCAGGGTACTTCTTCCCACAAATGCGTTCAGATTATGCTGGACCAGTGAAGAAAGCGAAGGAAGTGAAGGAAATGAAGGGATCTATTTTACTAGAGCTAGAGCGACGATGCAAATATCCGGATCTTGTTTGATTCTGGTGCGATTACATTACATGGACCGCATTTTGCCGAGATGGTGGTCCTCTTGAGGAGATTTGATCTTTTATATCGAAAACACTTCTCTCTAGATATCTTAGCAATAGTCGGACCTTTAATGTGCCTTTTCGTTTCTTTCTTTGGGGGGTTATTTTTCAAAGTGTTTTTCTATCTCCTTTCAGATATTCTTGAAAATCTTTGTTTAGATTGTATAGATTGTATGATATCTGTCCTGGGGCGTCTGGCGGAGCCACAGGAGGTCGGCCTGTCAGTATCTCCATCTTGAACTAGACGATGTGTTAGAGGTATTTGATGAGGGTCGGTGCTATCGCCCACGTGCTATCCCTGATAGGCCAATTGTAATAAGGGCCAAATGGTCTCTCCTAGGAGATCTGAAGGATTCACAAATGATAGCTAGTTCCTGCAGCAAATTCCCAGCGGGGCCTAAGCCAGCTGTGTTAAGCGGACTTTACATCAATACTGGTCATAATAGTGCTGGGGTGACTCAGCCTGGGCAGTGGCAAGGTAATGAGTGAGCTCCTTTTGGGACAAACACCTTCTGTGCCGATTTCGGAGCAGGTCTAGAGTTTTAGTGGACATTGTGTCTCCTATGTCACTTTCATATTTTATTCTTCTTGGTAGAATAGATATAGGCCTTGTAGGCTCAATACCGGGTCGCGGACTAGAAGCTTCATTAAATCGTTTCATGGGATTGAGACAGAGATCTATGCCGATATGTTCTGTCTAGTATAACCACATATAAACTTGGAAATACTGTAATTATTGGCCTTTAGCCAATGCAATAACCTTCTTTGCAGCCTCCTCAAATCCATCAAATGCATGCAAAGGCAGGCCACTTTCCGCGATCTACGAATATCCATGTCAGCAACTAGACAATGGTAGCGGATATTCAGATTAACACTTACCATTTTCTGACCTAATTCCTCATTCGTGCCTCGCAGTCTCACAACCACAGGAACCTTCATACTCAAGTCCCTGAAAGCCAAGATAATGCCCTCAGCAATCATGTCGCAGCGAGTCAGTCCGCCGAAGATATTAACAAAGACAGCCTTGACGCGCGTGTCAGAGCAAATCACACGGAATGAAGCCTTGACAGTCTCCGAAGTAGCTTTGCCACCGGTGTCAAGGAAGTTTGCGCAGTGGCCACCGTGGATAGTGAGGGCGTCAACTGTGTTCATGGCAAGGCCGGCTCCATTGACTATGGGATATTGTAAGTAAATATTCTTTTATTTTGAACGAGGTGTAGATCGCAATACATACCAAGTGTGCCAATGCTGCCTTCGCCTTCCAACCTATTGTATGTCAGTAAAGATACAGATCAACCTTGGGAGTCATGGATGTACTTCTACATACTTGACGTAAACAATTCCGTCCTTTTCGGCTTCAACTTCCTCCGGGACTTCTTCTGATTTATTTCGAAGTTTGTGGATATCTTCCTGTCGACCCGAGCTGCGGAATGCAGCATCGTCGAAGCCGAAACGCGCACCGTAGATTTCCAAAGTACCATCAGCGGAGATGCCAATGTGTGTCTCTAGTGTAAAGGCTTCCTTCTCCTTGTAAATTTCCCAAAGGGCTTGCACAATTCCTGCAAGCTGCTTGTGTGTAGAAGGTGGAAGACTCAAATGGGAGGCAACAGTAGCGATGACTGAGCTTTCGAATTCCGTCTGAGCGTAAGGAAATGGAAATTTCTGCGACTGAGCTGTGTTAAAGTCGGATGTCGGCGAAGCAATAATGCATGGGGATAAAGCTGTTCTGTCGACTGTAATGGAAACAGAAATAGAACCATCAAAACTGGAAGCCGCCTCATTCACAGGGATAGATTTCTGCTTGAGGATATCGAATGCTTGGAACTGCTTGATGTATAGATTACGCTTGTGTTCAGCGATCCGTCTCGAGACTGGCGTAACTCGTCTCATAGTATGAAACCCGCGTTTTTGTGAGCTAGTCCCAGAAAGTGGCTATGGGCATGTCAGTATACCTTAAATCGGATCCAGAAAAGCACACTCACATTTGTACCCGGCCGGCTAGACTGATTCGCGAACAAAGTCTTCATCCCTTCGCCGAACTTCTCGGGATGGTTAACCATAACCGCGCCAGCACGTTCAAGCGCTTGATACTTGGTTTCTGCGTCTGGTTCCCCAGGCGCAGCCCAGGCACCAGCATGTCCCATAATGCGCCCAGGGGGTGCTTCCAGTCCTCCAACAAGGGCCATAATGGGCCTATCCAATATCAGCATTGCATTCGGAAACCCCAAAGACCACCTAAAAACCAAATCAAAGACACAATAACTTACTTGGGATCCACAGTCCTCCGTCGGTAATCCTTAATCCACTCAGCAGCATCCATCTCCGCCGTACCCCCAATCTCACCAACGAGGATAATACCCCGAGTATCAGGATCATTCTCGAAGAGAGTGAGAGCATCGACAAAGTTCGTTCCAGCCAACACATCACCGCCCATACTAATACAAAGACTCTGACCAAGCCCAGCGCGAGTCGTTGACGCCACAGTCTCATAGCTCAATGTCCCAGACTTAGCCACGATACCGACATTTCCCGGCGCGAAGCAAGGTAATGGCTGGAAGCCGATTCTGCATTTGCCAATGGCGGATATAATGCCTGGGCAGTTTGCGCCCACTAGACGGGTCTTAGACTGTGTTTGGAGCATGGAGTGGATCTGTAATACTGTTAACGAGGATATTTCAACCTTTACCAGCACGATTAATCATGAGCAAGTCATACCCGAAGGATATCGTGGATCGGTACATGTTCCGCCACAGCTACGACGAGTGGGATTTCCGCTTCAATGGCTTCTTCAATGGCTTTAGCGGTTTGGTTTCCCGGAACATAAATCGCGGATGCATCGGGTTTTGCCTGTTCTTGGGCCTGGTAGTGCTTGTCAATCAACTGGTTAAATTACATCCTCCCCAACAAGAGGATAATCAATCTACCACTCATACCGCTTTGACAGATGGGAAGACTGGTAGTCCTAGATGTTCACCTTCAACACCAGGCTTAACGCCTCCCACGATTTTAGTGCCCCATTCAAGAGATTCCTTGACATTGGCAGTCGCTTGTCTTCCTATGGTAGGGATTAGCATTTCATGCATTCCATTGCGGGAGACGTTTCAATTGAAACAAACAGAGAGAATTACCTGTAAATCCCTGGAATAATACTCTGGTATGTGCGCCAATCTTGAGGTTTGGTAGCGTGTCCGCATAACTGGCGGTGCGGGGGGTGGTTGTGAAGTGCCTTGTTAGGGGGTCCGCAACTGGGGCGCCCGTTTTGAGAGGGCGTGTAAAGTCATGGCGTTCAGGGTGGAATACACATACACATGTAGATTTATACAGTGATTCTATAGAATGAATTATATGCAATGTTGAATTTGAAATTGAAACTCAGATATGTTAAGAAGGCTATAAGCTAAGTCGGCTAATCCGGTGTCGGAGATTTCCCCACATTTGCCGAGGGTGTCCGATTTTATACTAAGGACTCTTGAAGATATAAATTCATATAATTGAAATAACTAGATACTCTCTTCCGCTGCAAGCCTACAATCAATACTCATTAAGATGAAGCTTCTTCCCCACAAATCTCCGCCTAGCAGGCTTCTCGCCGCGTTGTTCCCGTTCCGCATTGAGACCCTTAAGCGCATGAAGAAGCATACCAGCATCAAAGAAGCCATCTAGTAAGAATAATAAGTTAGCAAAAGAACCACAACCCAAGGCACAGAAGAAGAGGGAAAAACTTACATCCGCCCATCCCATCATCCTCCATAAAGCTACTCTCGGCAGCCGAAGTAGGCGTCTCAGCACCTTGCCCACCCCCACCTCGTACAAGCCGACCACGTCGATGCGACTCAGACTGCAAGCTCTCCGCGAGTGCCTCAGTCTCTCTCGCACGACTGGTACGCGGACTTGTCGGCTTGCGATTCGTCGCGCGCAACAGCTTCCGAATCTCAAACAGATACGACTCAAGCGTGTGCATAAGTCGCGAGGTCTGTCTGTGCTTGGAGCTCGCGCAGATCGAGATCGAGTCATCCTTAATAATATATCCAATGCCGAAACCGTCGGCGGATGTAGGACCGAAGCCGAAGTGTCGCAGACAAGGGTTCCCGCAGTTCGAGGTCGATAGCACGCTGTTGTTGATTTTGTCCCAGCCGGGGTCGGCGAAGATAGCGGGGGTCGGCGCGGATGTTGTGCGGTAGGCGCGTGTGCTGCTTCCTGGCGAGGAGAGGCCGTCGTCTGAAGGGGAGGAAGAGGAGAGTTTTGGTGATTCGGGGCCCTGGCTTTGGGTTTGGGATTGTGTTTCGCCGGGGCTGGAGTATCCGCCTGTTGAGCTGGTGTCCGGGAAGATGCTTTCGTCGAAGGAGCGCTGCCAGAGGCAGTAGAGAGCGTAGAGGTGGCGGTCTGGGCCTTGACCCTTTGAACATTCCTTCGTGGCCTCTGTGTGCTTTTTGCATGCGACGCGGAGAGCGTCGACTTTTTGTTCGGCGGCGTTCTCACCCCAGAATGCTGTGACAAAGTCTATGCATTGGGGTGTTACGGTGCGCACGGCTTCCGTGCGTCCGTGTAGGAACATCTTTGTCATGGCTGGTTCGTAGGTGTTTTCAACTCGGCCATAGAGGCCGTAGTACGCGGCTTGGAAGGCCATCTGGATGAATGCGTCTGGGGAGAACCCCATTGAGGTTATGAAGTTCTTGCCGAAGCCTTCGAAGTCCAGGACTTGGAATTCGTGCTGGCAGAGCAGGTCGGAGAGGTGGGATTCAGCGAAGCGGAGCGCGATGTTAAGCTCGGGTGTCATGTCCCATTCTAGTTTGCGCGGTGTCGTGCTCACGTTTCCAAAACTTTGCGGGTCGCGCTTCGCTGGGTCGGGACTGCTAGTTGCCCATAGGCTTGGGGATTGACCGTTGATGGTCTTTGCGAAGCGGAGGATCGTGTCGGTGTACACGTCGCTGGCAAAGCGTAGCACTGTGTGGCCATCCACACCGGTATGCTCGAAGTTGATACCGGCACTACCATTTTCGCAGACGATGATTTGCAGCTTGTCGTACCACCGGTTGGTGCAAGTTCCAACCTGGACGCCCTTCACGACTTCACTTGTGCCACAGAGCATGTTAGCACAAAGCTCGGACGTGGTGGATGGCTCTGTGCCGTCCAAACATAGGACAAAAAGCGCGGTATCGACGATGTTCAAACACTCCGCATTATTAGATCTGGAATCTTTCGTCATGATATCGCGTAGCCCCGACCAAACTTTCCGATTCTCTGTGCTGAGTACACCCAAAGCACCCTTCGCAGCCTCATGAAGCGGGGTTTGAGCCGCATCCTCAATGATTGCCTGCAGGTTAAGCGAGATATCCTTCTCACTCATGATCAAATCGCTGTTGTCATCCAAGACGTCAAACCAGTAGAACTGTCCCCGACACATAACAACCATGTGTTTGGCCGAAGGGTCCTGGCTAATGACACAGCCATTATCGGTAGGCAGACGTGCCGTTCCAAAAAGGCGCGAGTACTGATACATGCAAAGAGGTGTTCCTCGCACGGTATCAGGGGGCAACTCCTCCCGACGCACAGCTCGAACAAATGCCAATGATGAGATTACCAGCGATGCAGCTCGAGTCACTTGGTGATTTCTGGCGGGAGTTGGGTCGTCCTCCAAAAGGAAAAATGGATTGAGATTCAAAACAACGGCTGCGAATATTAGCTGAGCGCCGAAAATGCCGACAGGAATCCAACTTACGATTATCGAAATTCAAGTAAGAATCATACCCTAGCCATGATCAGCTAATCTCCCACCAAATCCTGGGTTATGAATAGACTTACAAAATTGCTCGATATAACTTGTCTTTGAACCAGCGTACGTCTTAAGCCGTTCTTGCAGAAGAGGACCATCGGTCTTTAAAAAGTCCCGAACAGCGGCCTTGGTCTCTTCATGGTCACGCGGGCTCTGCAAGCCTTGCAGAGTATCTATGTACCGACGACAGGTATCCTCCAGATCGGGAATAGGAAGCTTAGGCAGCGAATCCTGATTTGCGAAAGTCAAGCCCTGGCTCTTAGGGGTATGGGGCTCAGCAACCTCAGAGGAGGGCTGCTCAGTAGGGACATTTGGTCTCATGACCGTGTGGCCTTGAGGGTCAGACCCGGATCTTTTGTTTGAGTCGGTGTCCATGGAATCACCGAGTGGTTTGGGGGCTGTGAAGAATCGGACTGCCATTGAGGAGTAAGACATGATGTTAGATGTGTTCAACGTTTCCAGAGAAGTTAAATCAGGCGTAGGGACTAGCGAGGACGGTGGGGATTGACAGGAGGCGTAGGGCTGTGCGGTAGAAGTAGTGGCAGTCTTGGAGGCAGTATGATGGCATTGAGACTATGTCATGTGCAAATGCAGACAGATGGACAAGGGGACGAGGGGATGAAAAGAAGATGTATGGAAATATACGAAGGTCACAAAATAAAGATCATGCAGAGATAAGAAGAAATCAAGGCGGCGCGAGACAGGAAGAGAGCAAGGTAATTTTATATGGGGGAATTATAGAGTCGACGTCTGTGGATCCGGCTCGGGCCTAAGGGGAAAAGGAAAAGAAACACAGATTGAGCGAGGTACTTACAGAGCACTTGTCCAATAGTCCAAATAGTATGCAACCCCGAGGTGCGGGTTAGTGTGACCGGGTGATACGGTGGAAGAACGGAATGATAGCGCCGGAGAAACGGATGAGTTTCGCTGTACCGTTTGTCAGATGTCAAAATGATTGCCAACAAAAGAACCTCGTGGACAAGTAGTTTATGGTTTCTACGGTGCCCTTTTAAGTGCCATGGGAGATCCAGAGGGTTTATAACATGTATAAATCACACCTTAAAAGTCTTTTCCATGAAGGATGACAATGGAACGGCTTTGTCGTGGTCGGATATGCCCCTCACCCCGTGGGGATAATTAAAAGGGAGATGATAGGGTAGGATACCGGATAGACCAGGCTAAGAACTTACTTCCAAGGTTAATGTCAATCACTGATGGACCCTGCACATTGCCGCAGGTATCTTGGCTCGGGGTAAAGATGTACAAAGAAAGCTCGGACCGCGTTGACGTTGACAGATTAAGGTCGACTGGCTCTTTAATAAAGAACAAAAGGCGACTCTCGGGACGGAGGAAGTAGTTTACCGTATACCCGACACAGAAGGTCTTGGAATTTGAAGTATATCGGCATGAGCTCTCGTTTCATGTCCTAATGACGTTTCGGGCGAAGGGACCGGTCATGCGGGGAAGCTCGTGGTCACGTGAACACAGCGTCATAGGGCTAAAAAAGAACATATAACCAACTACGACCAGATTTTACAATAGAAAATCCTACGATTTTGTGGAGGGTGTTGAGGTAACTTCATAATACGCTAGGGGGTACACAGTACATCACGCTTGCAAATGGAAAACCAGAAAAATATGACGCCAGAGATTTTGCTATCCACAGGATGAGCCGCACACAAGAGTGGCGGAAGACAAGGAGTCAAAAAGAATATTCACAAGGAACAATAATATCTGCATTGCCATGAGTCCTCCCAAGGAGAAGGACGAAGCACGCTTGCATACATACAGTATGGGTCACCGATCAAGCCCGGACATGCAAATGATGAAGAAGGTAAAGACAAGAAGATAAATCCAGATGGCGCAAAGCGAATGGGGGAGACATGTTGTTTAGGAAAACAGGATCAATGGGTTTAGATCACTCCACACAAGAATATCAGATGTGGCATTCTCAAATCAACAGCTCCGTATATCCCGAGACGTTTATGAGCTGGGCCTCAAGACGTTGTCGGCATACTCGCCGGCGTAGTTACCGGGCGAGCCATAGTTGCAGACAGTGTAGGGGGCGGCACCACCGACATTCTTCAAGTCAGAGCAGCTAACAGTGGCACAACCGACTTGAGTGGTAGCCTTCCAGACGATCTGAGTGAAGTGACCCCACTTCTCGAAGTTGGTCATATCAGGGTCGGCCTCGCCGTAGAGGTTGGCGAAGTACGGCGCCTCGTCAGTGTACATCATCTCGCTGATAACCTTCTCACCGACGAGATCCGCATCGTAACCGTACGCGATGTTCTGACCGTAGTCTCCGCTGGCGGACGGGATGGAACTAGTTAACGTTAGTATGATAGTTTCTTAAGCCAGACAAAGGAATACCTACGTGTCGTGTCCGTACTCGCAACGCGAGGCGAGAGTGTTGGCAGCTGCCGCGAGGTCCTCAGACCAGGTCAAGCCGCTGGCGGAGTGGTCGCTGCGGTGAAGGTTGTGGTAGTGCAGGATGGACTCCTGGTAGGAGCTGGTGGCGCTAGAGGCGGCAGTGGCAGCGGCGGTGGTGGAGGTGGCCGAAGAGGTAGCGACGGAGGTAGTCACGGGGGCAGCAGTGGCCACGGTCTTGAGTTCGGCCTCGGTGGTCGAAGAAGAGGTGGAGAAAGTGGTCGAGCTGCTAGGTTCAGACTCAACCACGGCGGCAGCAGTAGTAGGAGCCGCAGCGGTGGTAGAAGCCGCAGCAGGGGCGGACTCGACCTTAGCGGGGGCCTTCTTGGCAACGTCGACAGTGGGAAGGGCAGCGTTGGTGGGCTTGGCGTGGTCCTGCTTGACCGAAACAGCGGTGCTGGGGGTGTTGGTGGGCCACTCGGTGACGGTCTTGGTGACGGTGGTGGTAGTCCACTCGGTCACGTAAACCTCCTTCTCAATAACCTTGGCACAAGTGCCGACCGCCAAGGCGGCAAAGATGACAGCGGAACGCATTTTGGGATCGAAGACAAAGAAACTCCTCCAGGAAGTTTGTATGAAAAGAATGGGAAATTGGGTCAAGCAGATCGACTGCTTTGACAAAGGAGTGTGGACGTTAGGGATAAAGGAATGGCAGGCCTAAAAGAAACACCTTCTTTCTTTAAGGAGTGAAAGAAAGATAAGATGCAGGCTGAGAAGATTGGTGAGGACGAGGAGAGAAGGGAGAAGGAGAGAAGAGGAGGTTAATGTGGTAAATAATGTAGAAAGGGGAGATGAGAAGGAAGTGGGGAGGGGCCGTGCGAATAATCGGGATATTAATTTTAAATGAAGGTCCAAATGAATCTGGAGATTGGAGCAAACAAGAGGTAATTATTTTATAATAATTATTATATCTGAAAAACTTCAATGGCTCCTATATGGAGTACTTATTCACTTTTCTTGGGAAATTTCCAGCCTCTTGAGAGTTGAACAAGCATACCTTGCTGTGGCACATTCTATAGTACATTCCAAGTCCTAGATACCATTTCACACAGATATGAGGCTGGTTTGGAGATTAAGCAAATATTCTCCGACATTTTAATATGTAATTTCCTCTTAAAGTATTAAGGATATCGATATATTAAAAATTAAAATTAAGAATATGCTGTGTGATGTGTGATGTCCACGGGTGGTCCGATAGACATGTTTGCCTGGACCACTCTAGAAGCCCACATATTGGGGTACGTAGTACGTACGCTAGTCAGAAGAGGCTGCCAAAGGAAATAAGGTAATTAAAAGTACCGTGGGTTTCAGGAGGAAAATCTTATGGAGTCCTCCGTACGAGTGCAAAAGAGCAATCGAGATCTTGTATGATCGGGGCCAGGGGACTGTCAACATTGGAAGCCCCTTAGCCAGGAACGGTTTCAAAGTGTCCACCCGTAGCTTAAACAACCAATCAAAACCGCCCATCAGAAAACAAAACCTCTCCACTTGCACGCCCGCTTCTCCCGCTAAGAAACTTGGCTTGGAGGCCGATTCGGTAGTCTGAACGGGCGGAACTGTATTATATTAAATCAATCAACCTCGTTTCAGCCACTCATTTACGGGATTAAAGGATTAAAGGATTGACGATATTCTCCGGAATACGGAATGCCCGGCATTAAAATGAGATTTCCCTGTTTTTTGGACTGCTCTTATATTGAGTTTTAGGCAGCCCGCTTCCAATATTCCATCCATGGATGGATCGTCCTGGTAGTGGAAGATCAAAATCAACAATGAGACAACCAATCAGAACGTGACACCCGTTGGTGCAACCTCACATCCATGGGTCATGGTGGGACAAGGCGCCTATACATTGTAACAAGGGGAAATTCCAAAACATCATGTACGATCCCATTTGCCGTAGTAAGACTACGGAGTACTCCGTACTACTAGTAGATTCTAGCCCTTCACCATGGGCACTTGGGCATCCACCTTTCCGGCATTTGAGCCCAGGGTCCACAGCCTAGGGCGGCAGGAGATCCGCTCTAAAATCACGTAAAGTGCGTTGACTAGTTATCATGAGTAACCGCTAAACAAATTTCTTGAAAAATTCTGATGATCATTTACATATTGGATCGACGTTGGAGGTGCTACCATCTATTGTGGGATGTTATGGGAGATGCAAAAAAAGGTATGATATTCTTAACTAACCACACAATAGTCAGCCGCTCATGCGGCCTTGTCATATCTTTTCGGTGGTCTCTCTTATAGTCTTTTCGCGGTCTTTAGATTTCCATTTAGATGTCCTTTTACAGTATTTTAAATGTTCTTTTTACATTCACTTTTCTCTCCATGGTCACCTAATCCCTAACAATGACCCATCCATGGTTTGGTCAACATCGGCGTCGATCCCCAACCATCCATCTCTACATCCAGTCCTCCTGGATTGTTTCCCCTTCCAAGACTCTGCATTTCTTATGTTTACCGATCTATGTTGATTTCTAGCGATCGGCAGGTACTATACTCGGAGCCTGAGGGCCGCATCCGCACGTCGGCCGATCGAGCTGATCTAACTAGGTACCTAGAACTTGATTATGGATTCCCTCTCTAGGATGTCGTTAGGCAGTCTAACTCCTCCCGTTCGGAAGCGCAATTCGATGCCTAAACCACTGCCTGGTAGAAGATGTTCGCTAGGCGGGATGAAATCTTTTTGGCTGTATACCAGGTAGTTACCTACGTAGCGAGGGTAACAACTAAATTACTACTGGCAATATGAAGAAATTGAAGGTTATAGAAAAGTCCTCTGCACAGTCTAGGCTTTTTGCCGCCTTCAAATACATCTCAAAAGACATAATAAGGCTGCATAAGCGGCCGACTGTTCTTGTAATAATTAAGTCCAAGGTGGCATACTATCACCCGTACCCAACCAAACGGAACGCCACAGCCACACAATCTCGTGTGAATATCGAAAAACGTACCAGAAAAAAAAAAAACTCGTAGCGCCTAGAGATCAATGGTTTGGCATCGCCCAGCCTCACAGACCATCAAGTAGTTCTTGGGAGGCTCACCGGCCTTTAAATTTTGAAACAGCGCATTTCGGGATTTAAGCCAGAAGGACTGATTCCCTACAAAGTCTTTCAGGTGTGAGGGGCGAATATCGACAATTGAAGTGACCACGATAGATGAGGACACGGCCATGCCAGCTTCGGCTCGGACCCGCTGTCGGATCAGGTCGAGTGCCGACACGGGCTCGTCATTCCGACTAAGGAGAGTGTCGCCACGTGGATTCGAAATCGAGGAAATATCGGCAGTGGAGAACACACCCGTCACTGTGCGAGTGCCAATCTGGAGGCCCACAATCACGTCCAGCATTCCTACGAACAGGAAGGGGTGCTGGATGATCTCCACCGCGAAGGTGTTGCATGTCTGCCGGGCCAAAGTCCGGTAACTCTCATTCTCGAGTAGAGCAGATAGGCGTAGTAGATTGCGCGCAATGACTCCGTTTACCGACGGTGTTGCTGACTCAGTGCCGGTCTTCAGGCGCAGGAGCGGGCCAGGCATGCCAGGGGTGGTGATGGAAGGCGTACTGTAGTATCCGGTAGTTGTAGAGCCACTCTGAGCCAAGAAGTATTCATTAAGGTAATCTAGAATCATCACGTTAGTCATTAGATCTCGTTCAAATTGAAGAGGGTAATCTCACCTTGCAGTCGCTCGGCAAATTGAAGGTAACTGTCGTCGTAAGTAGCGTCATACATGTCAAGCAACCCGCTGGCCAAGTATGCATAGTCGTCGGCGAAGCCTGGGGTGTCTCCACGGTTTCCATCGCGGTAAATGCGCCATAGCTGCCCCGTGGCTTTATCAAAGAGTTTGTCCTTAATGAAGCTGATTGCCCGTGCTGCCGCTTCGCGACAATGCACGGCCTTGGAGCTCTCAATCTCCTCAAACAGAATACTACACTTCGCAAGCGCACCAATCGCCAATCCATTCCAGGCCACGATAATTTTGTCATCCAGGTCTGGCCGCCCGCGTGTTCGTTCGCGATAATCGTGCAACTTCTGCTTTGATGACTTGATGATTTTGACCACTTCTTCCTCGCTAAGACCGAAGTCTTTAGCAAGTTTGCTCGGTGTGGCACGGATGGACAACACGTTCTGGTTCATGAACTCATCATGCGGGTCGTACTCGGGTGGAACGTTGCCGTCGGGAAGAACACCCCAGTGTTTGGCGCAAACGGGAGCATCCCGAGGGCCGAGGACCGAAGTGAGTTCCTTTAGCGACCAAACATAAAAGGCACCCTCCCGCTTTTCGGTGTCATTGGGATGAGGGTAACTGTCGGCATCTTCCGAGGAAAAGAACCCTCCGGTGGGCGACTGTATCGGGGCGCTCGTCAAGTAGGCAGCCAGGTCATACACGGCGCCCAAAAGTTCGGGATCATGAGTGAGCCGGAAAGCGTCCACGTAAACATCCAATAGCTGTGCCTGGTCATAAAGCATCTTCTCGAAATGGGGGAGACCCCAATCCGTGGTCACGCTATACCGTGCGTATCCGTGGCCGATGTGGTCCCGAATGCCACCACGAGCCATGTTCACTAGTGTCGTGACGGCCATCGCGGTTGCCTGTTCACACTCATCATGTCCTACAACATCTGTGACCTGAGTCGGGTAGGCACCGAGCCGGAGTAGAAAGCTGAGGTTAGACGGCGTAGGAAATTTGGGTGCGCGGCCAAACCCGCCATTGACCGAGTCGTATCGAGATGCGAAATGCTGATACGCTTCTTCTAGAAGCTCAATGTCCATTTCCTCGTCATTATCATTATCGTGATCGCCTTGCTGCGAGTGCGTCCCTTCCTCGGCAAACTCTCTCAATTGTTTCGTGATTTCTTTAGCGCTGTCGAGACAACGCTGCTGTTGTGTCTGCCACACATCTCTCAATTTTTCTAAAATCTCCACAAACCCGATTGCCTCGGGGCCCGTAAATGTGGTTGAGTTTGGGCCTTGCCAGTAAGTGCCACCAAATACAGGCTCGAGATCAGGAGTCAAAAACACATTCAAGGGCCAGCCACCCGAACCCGTTGTGGCCTGGACATAATTCATGTAAATGTCGTCGATATCTGGTCGCTCTTCGCGATCAACTTTGATCGGGACAAAGGATTCATTCAGAATCGAGGCCACCTCTGATGACATAAACGATTCTTTTTCCATGACATGGCACCCTAGACATGATTAGAATACAAGTACCCCCCAGTGGGGTTGTTGTAACCTACAATGACATGCGGAGTAACCGATACTGAGAAAGATTAAACGATTGTGCTTCTTGGCAAGCTCCATAGCTTCTGCATCCCAGACTTGCCATGCTACCGGGTTGTTCATATGTGCTCTGACCTGTTGTTCTGTGAGCGTGTTGCAATTTCCCAAGGGAACACATCTCTCACATAAGGGGATTTGCTTTGCTGCAAACGATTGACCATCTTTGGGCCTGCGTCAGGTACATCATGACGTGGATGTGAGTGATTGATCGAGGCAGCCATTAGGACTGAGTTTCCAATACTTTTTTCCGGTCGGAGACTAGACATCCGTCAGTCCGAGGCCCAAGAGGGGAGGGATCCTAACGGGTTCCGGCAGTACAATACCTAGGTACCCAAGTTTGGAAGCTACCCCACGTACGATCGAGTCCGTGGGATAAAAGTTTCTGGTGGCACAAATAATATCTCGTAACTAGGGAGATAAATGGGCCGGGTTAGAGGGGGGTCGGGGCGGGTTAGACCGTGTCTTGAAGAATAAAGTCGTGTGCGGGCCAGCGCTATTTGGGCGGGGGAGTCGAGGCGAAGGTCGAGGTCGCGGGAGATCGGCCCTGTGCGTCATGGCTGCATCAGGAAGGTCACGTGATACATACTACACCTGGTTGCAGGCGCACTGTATATTGTGGACAGTACTATATAGTCTATATTGTATATGGTATTGGGTGCACTGTACATGTCTCTGCTAGGTATACACATGCTCAAAACACAATTGGGTATCACATCATCTAATCATCTCCCATGAGCTCCGCCAACTCAGCCTCTTCCTCCGCCGTCAACATTGATTCGGCCGGCTTTTCCTCCCCCCCCTTCTCCTCTTCTGCGGGCTTCTTTGCAAGCTCCACTGCTTGCTGAAGCTCGTCGGGTCGAAGGGACCATTGGCGAATGGTCGCATCGATTCCTACGCTGACAATGGTTGACCCTACAAGCACAAGCCCAGTGACCTCTTCGAAATGGCCGGAGAAAGTATGATGGAGTGCTCCAGTCTATTTTAAATCAGCATATACCCCATGTAAAGACTGAAAAAGAAAGATCCCCTTACCGATCGGTTCCATACACGAACTTCCTCGTCCCGACAGGCAGTCACAACCCAACCCCCCGTTTCATAGACGACAACATCACGGACAAAGTCTGGATGCTCTAGGGTCAGATTGGCCTTCCACCCATCCTCTCGAATCAAGCATTTGGCAGACTTGTCAGCCGAAGCAGTCCAGAGATCGCCGTCATTATCGAAAAAGAGCTTGTAGACACTGGTGTCATGCGGAAGGAGAGGGTCAGTAGTACTACCGCCGCCAAATATACTGAATTGGCGAATCTCCCGGTCACTTCCTGCACTAAATACAACTGGCTGGGTGCTCTCTGATTCTGGGTCAAGAGCAAGGTCCTGGATACCGCGGGAGTGGCCCTTGAAGGTCTCCAACCGCTCACCACTTGTGATATTGAACACCAGGATTTGTGCATCAGCACCACCGGAGATAAGCAGGTCATCCCCACGCAGTCTTGCGCTGGTGACTGATCGAACAAAGTCGGCATGGCCTTCGTACTTCTGGCGTGGCTGGCCAGTGGCCGTGTCCCAGCTCCAGATAGCTTTGTCCCAGCACCCGGCAAACAGGAGCTTGCCATCGGGACTCAAACAAAGACTAGTCACAGGAGCCATAGGACCTGTAAACGCCCTAGCTGTTTCTCCTGTCTGTAGGGATGTGAGAACATGGGATTTTGAGACGATTTGAGATTACGATTGAACTTACAGCAAGGATGATCCTTCTCACGGTGCCATTGCTATGGGCAACATAAATCGAGCCAGTATTCCAGGGGTCGGGATGAGCTGCTAGGATCTTGCCCTGTAGTCGAATAGGGTTTCCATTGGTGTTCTGGGACTTGGCATCTTTCCGCTCCTGCTCATCCAAAGATGCACTGCGAGGGATGTCAATTAACCCTTTTTTTAATTTAAAGATCAAAGAATTGTTTTGGCTCACGATGTCTGAAAGAAATGATCTCGGTTCGAAGATGTCGTCATCGTGTTTCAAGTCTCTCTGTAAATCAAGTCAAAACGTAAAAGCAGCTATCAATTTTCCCCATCAACTTCTCCCCCGCTCCAAAATTGCTATCTGAGCTTACGTCGTCCACCGTAGCCCGCATCCTCCACAAAACCACAGAATTTGCGTTTCCTCTCCCTTCCCTTCTCTTCCCAACCTCCTATCTTGTCTCTTCAAACCTCTTCGTTTTCTTATTCTTTCCTTCCGTATCCTCTCGTCTTTTTACCCAGCGCGATATCGCGCACAGCTGCCATGGAAATGAATCACCTCATAGGGTCAGTCTGAACATGTTCGGAGTCAAGGTGGCCGCGAGTTAACATCTGACAGTCAGCGTTTCAACCTGATTTCGAAAAGTGACATTCGGTGAGTTTATTATCAGACTCCCAATTGCTTTTTTCACAATTAATTGTCTTCCAGCTATGTCGGTACTCTTCACGAAATCAACCCCGAAGCTTCCACGATAGCTCTTGAGAATGTCATGTCATTCGGCTCAGAAGGGCGCCGTGGCAACCCCGCCGAGGAAGTCCCCCCTCCACCAGCGTCTACGAGTACATCGTCTTTCGAGGAAGCGATGTGAAGGACATCAGCATTGCTGGGGAGGACCAAAAGGACCCCGCACCGCAAGAAGCTCCTCGGGTACCAGATGACCCTGCCATTCTCGGGGTAAGTCACCGCAGCTCTTTCCTCGAATCCACCACGCCATCCTGCACAACAAACTATCACCCATTCTCCGGGCGAATTGATCAAGTGACGAAAAATTCTCGGATGTAAACTCACAGACCTGTTCTGAATGCGCAAAACCGTGTAGAGATTTCCGTTGCCTTCCTTCTGATGATCAATTCCCAATCGTGGACTTGTTTTCTGTATCATTGTGTATACGGTGTGCTGACCAGTGTAAATAGGGCGCGCAACGACCAGTTCCTACCCAAGGGCCTGATTCAGGACCTGCTCCACAGAATCTTCCTCCCCAGGGCCCTCCCCAGCTTCCCCAGGGAGCTGGCCCAACTCCTCCCGGTTACCCTCCGCAACACCAATTCCAGCAAGGTTTCTACCCTCCCTACGGCCAGCGATTTGGACCACCTCCTCCATTCCCTCCCGGTCCCGGTTTCCCGCCGTATGGTGCTCCGCCCGGATGGTACCCCCCTCCAGGCCATGGATTCCCCCAGGTCCTGGTCAATTCCAACCGCCGATGCCCATTGGCCCTGGCCAGCAGCCTGGACCTCAGCAGCCCGGTCCCCAGCAGCCTGGTCCTCAGCAATCTGGTCCTCAGCAGCCTGGATCTCAGCGCCCCGGACCTTCCGGTGCCGCACCTGCACCTAAACCTACCTCAGAACTCCCGGTCGGGGACAAGGTTCCCAACAAATCTACGAGCCGTAACGCAACCCCGGCCGCTCAGAACGCCCCCACTCCTCCAATCGAGTCTAAGCCTACTGTGGCTGAAGCTTTGCAAGGTCCTGTCAGTACCGCTCCTCTAACTGCCCAGAAGAATGGCCGAGTCATGCCAGCTATCCCAATCGCTGCCCCGAAGCCTAATCCTCCGACCGCCCACATTCCGACCGCCCCTCGGGGAAATAACCAGTCTATCACTGATGCTACCGCGGCCGCCACTGCTGCGGTTGCTGCCGCTATGGCCAAGTTGCCGCAGCCCGGTGCTCAAAAGCAACCCGGACAGCCTGAAGGTGCCGTGGATGCACTTACGCAGCAGATGAACCACATGCGCCCTTACGACAACACCCGTGCCCCCGGGGCGGTCATCACCACCCTCGTGGTGGACGCGGCGGTGCTCGTCCTCCACAGCAGGCCAAGAAAATCGAAGTCCCCCAATCGGATTACGATTTCCAAACTGCAAATGCCAAATTCAACAAGCAGGATTTGGTGAAGGAGGCCATTGCCACTGGAGTTCCTGTTGCTGAAGCTGAGGCCCATGCAGCCGAGGAGGCGGAATCTATGGAATCCATGTCAAACGGCGGCGGCGCTTCGAACCATGGTTACAACCGCGGTTCCTCCTTCTTCGACAATATCTCGAGCGAGGCTCGCGATCGTGAAGAGAACACCGCTCGTGTTGGTGGTCGTGAATGGCGCGGCGAGGAGGAGAAACGCAATATGGAAACCTTCGGACAGGGTAGCGTTGATGGCTACCGCCCTAACTACCGCGGTCGTGGCCGTGGCCGCGGCTATGGTCGTGGTCGAGGTGGTTACAGTCGTGGCTACGGCGGACGTGGCCGTGGCGGCCGGGCCCCCTCTGAGTCCACTGGTGTCCCATCCCAGGGTTGATCGAGATCTTTTTTTTGATTACACGTCCTTCTAGCGATGGTTGCTATCTTGTTTTCATATTTGGGGTGGCAATACCTATGACCGAAACGAATAATCACACTTGAATCTTTTTCTAGTCTCTTCGGCGCAATGGCAAACTGGGGCCGGGGGCATACTGGGTTGGCCATACGATACTTCCTACAACAGCAATTATGGGTGTTTCTCTGTGTTTATTGTTATCTTTTTTTTTTGTCACGCATACCCTTTCTGCAGCGTCTTCTGAAATTCCTGGATCCTATGGATTCTTCCTTCTCATGTTTTCACTGCGCAGAAAGTGGCCAATGCACCATGATCTCTCGTACTCGCATAGAGGAGATATCTTTATTTGTGTGTAAACCATCTGGGGATGCAAATTCCCCCAACGACCTAAATGAAAAAGGCAAAAAAACGAGGCTAAATGGCCTTCGAATGTGTTTCTTCCCTAGATCTATGTAAACACTTGTATACAGAGTACGGAGTACAGCATTGTAATTCGCCATCCTATTTATATGTACTCACTAGATCCAGGCCTAAAATCCCCAAAAGCAGCTGAATCCTTTAGTCCCAACTATGAATGTGAGCTCTCTTCCCCAAACTTGATACATCATATATCATTCCTTTGGCTTGGACTGACCGCTCTTCTTAGAAATTGTAACAAAGAAATTACAGATCGATTAACTACATGGAGATCCGTACATCCCCGAGATAGATCGAGCACTCGAGCCATTCAGAGAACAAGGAACAATTTTAATTTTATACCTTCCGATCTGCCCAATGCCCCCTTGCTTCCACTATAAATTCGCCTGTGTGCAACACGTAACTTTCGATCTACTCAGTCTACTCACTGTGCTACAATAGTGCTTCAAATTGGAGTTTAAACTTGTTCCCTCGGTGTATGTCCAGTACTTCTCTTCCCCATGGCGTCTAGCAGCATTTCCAGACTCTCTGCCATATCAAATCATATTCAAAATAACTCCATGTTGTCTTTCACTCAAGTTGCCACCCAATTACCCTGGGATCCAAACAACACCAAGTTCCCTTCGAGGAAAGATCTTCCAAAGCTTCCTGGTGCACCTGAGGGTGCCGCCTGGGTCTGGGGCAAAAATGATGAGGTGTGATGCTTTATTTCCTGTTGATATGTTCTGTTCTTACGTGGCTAATTTGCTTGAGGTATAGGTGGGCAGATTGAACCTCCTGACACCGCAGCGGGTCAAAGTATCTGCTGCTGAGATTGATACTGGCGAGATGGTGCGACTGGAGTAAGTACAGTGGACTATAGGATTACGCCAAATTAAAATATATCCGCTTACAAGTATCAATATCAAGTCTTCCTCTCACAGTACCCGAGAAGCCGGCTTTTGACCGCGAAGTGTTCCAGCATAACATCAAAACGCTTATTGATGGCATTGCTTATGACGATACATACATTGTGAACCCACAGAGCGGGACGCAGTGGGATGGATTCCGGCATGTGAGTTATTATTCTCACTAAAAGAAAAAGCCCTAATCTAATACACCCATAGTTCGCCCACATTGACAGCCAATGTTTCTACAATGGGGTATGCTTCAAATCCCCCATCTTCCATCCCCAGAAACTAACCCACTTACACCTAGGCCAAAGGCAGCGACTTCGTAGGCGAAACCGCAAACCACCGCTGCAGCATCCACCACTGGGCAACGCACGGCATCGCCGGTCGAGGAATCCTCCTAGACTACCACCACTACGCCAAAACCCACAACAAGCCCTACGACCCCTACACAACACATAGCATCAGCCTCTCGGAGTTACAAGCATGCGCAACGTCCCAAGGCCTAGATCTACGCCCGCAGTCCGAAGGCGGCGACATCCGCATCGGAGACATTCTACTCGTGCGCTCCGGCTTCGTGGAGCGATACTACGAGCTCAGTTCTGAGCAGCGGTATGCAGCTGCGACACGGTCCCATGAGGACCTATGCTTTGCGGGACTCTCGCGCGAGCCAGCTATCCGGGACTGGTTGCATGATTGCTATTTTGCAGCTGTGGCGGGTGACTCGCCGACATTTGAGTCGTGGCCTGTTCCTGAAGGTGACTATTTGCATCAGAGCCTATTGGCGCTGTGGGGGTGTCCTATTGGTGAGATGTGGGATTTGGAGAGGCTTGCTGAGAAGTGTCGGGCGAGGGGGAAGTGGTCTTTCTTTATGACTAGTGCTCCGGCCAATGTGCCTGGTATGTATTTTTCGTATGGGCTTGGTGTTTGGGGTTATATTTTGGGTATATGAAATATGCTAACTGCTTGGTAGGTGGTGTCGGGTCCCATGCGAATGCTACTGCTATTCTTTAGATGGGATTTGTGATATATTGGGGATATAATTTGTGTTTCAGGTGGTTGTTAATATAACACAACGCTGTTTCGAATCAGTTTTATTATAGCTGTTGAAGGAAAAAAAAGTTTTATATGACAACTCCAATCTTCCAAGGCTGTGGAATATAATCACCCAGGTCAATTGTATGTCCAACGCTATAAAAGTATACAGTAATCGCCTCTGTCATGCTTGGGGTGTGTCAAAATATATATACCTGACGCTGTGTCCCTCTTATTATCCGACCATGCACGTTTCAGGGGAATAATTGTTAAGGATAGATCCCAGACGATATTACAGCGTCTTTATGACTCTTCAATTCTCTTTGAGTTGGCTAATGTAATGATCTTCCACCTCGTGTTCGGCTAAACCTCGGGCCAAGCACCGCCAACTCCGCATTTCTCCACGTTTTGGCCGTTCCCGTTCTGATATTGAACTTCGTTTAGCACGCAAACCCGGGCCGGATTTCCGCTTCTTGTTGGTTTTAAAAAACCGCACACCCGGATTGTGATCTTACCCGAGAATCAAATTCTCATATCCCATACCATCATGAGCACCCAAACGCAAACAGAGACAATCGTACTACAGACAAGAGCTTCCACCGAAGCAACCCCAACTGAGAATGAAACATTCCAAGACTCAAGACCCCCAGAACCAAAATGGATATATGCCAAAATCCTCAGCGCAGGATTATCCTTTTTCGTTGCAGGGGTCAACGATGGAAGTCTCGGATCACTCATTCCCTACGTGATACGCACCTACGACATCGGAACAAACATGGTAGCCGTTCTGTAAGACTATTCAAGAATAATACATATTCAAATTCATCTGAAATATAATGCTAACACCGCCAGATACGGCACAACCTTCTTCGGCTGGTTAATCGCAGCCTTGACAAACGGCAAAATAACTCAACACCTGGACCTAGGACCAATCCTTAGCCTAGGGCGCCGCCATCCAAGTCCTAGCCCAGGTACTGCGCGTCTGGGAACCCCCATTCGCATTATATGCGGTAACATTCTTCCTTGCTAGCTTAGGTCAAGCTTACAACGATACTCACGCCAATACCTTCGTCTCTGCGCTGAACGGCGCGCATCGATGGCTCGGCTTTATCCACGCTATGTACATGGCCGGGTGTCTAGTTGGACCGTTCGTAGCGACGGGAGTGGCGTCAGCGAATGTCGACTCGAAGTGGTATCTGTTTTATCTTTTCCCGCTTGGCGTTGGTGTGGCGAATCTCGCATTTGTGGGTGTTTCGTTCCGGGATCGTATGGCTACTCCGACTGTTTTGAGGGGGGAGAGAGGTGGCAGGACAGCTTCGAAATCTGCGCTTAAGGAGATCAAGGATACGCTTTCGACTCCTGGGGTTTGGTTGCTGAGTTTGTTTTTCTTTTTCTTTCTTGGGGCTTCGATCACCGCTGGAGGTTCGTCTTCTCTTGTTTCTCTATACGTTCTGCGAAGCTAACTATATCAGGCTGGATGGTCGAGTACCTTGTTAATGTCCGTAACGGCGATGTCAAAGCAATGGGTTACGTCCCTGCCGGTTTCTACGGCGGCGCTTTTCTAGGACGTCTTATACTCGCTGAGCCTACGCATAGACTCGGCGAGCGTCGAATGATCTTCATTTACTCTTTGCTGTGTGTGGGGTTACAGTTGGTATTCTGGCTGTGAGTTTGGCACTACCTCTACAACAATATCTAACTATATATCCCGATATCTTGCTTTGTTTTTGCTAATACCCGTGATTTACTAGTGTCCCGAATATCATCACTGAGGCAGTAGCAGTCAGTCTGTTAGGATTCTTCTCTGGTCCTTTCTTCGCAACAGTAAGTGTTCACCACTCAATTTTCCTGGTCTTAACTCTAACTCCTGGCTTAGGGTATATCGGTCGGCTCAAAGATCTTCTCACCAGAGATCCGCTCTTCGGCAATCGGTAAGCCAGCCCCAACCCTTGGAATCCGTGGGGCCGTACATTTATTTACATTCTGATCATCTATATAGCATTCGTCTTCGTACTTGGTCAAATCGGCGGATCGGTTTTTCCCGCTTTGACGGGTATCATCGCAGGACAGGTTGGTGTCCAGGTCCTGCAGCCCATGCTTGTTGGTTTGCTCGGTGCCGCTGGTGTGAGCTGGTTGATCTTGCCTAAGGATAGGGCTCTCCATCAGGAGTGAGGGTTTCCAAAACCGAGCTTCATGGTATACAACGGGGTTCTATCGGTCCACCGAGAGAGCTGGGAGATATGATATGTGAAAAGCCTGTACAAAGAACACAGTTTGCTTTGGGGGCTTCGAGGAGATGGACGTACGAGGGTTTAGAACGTAGAAAATATTCCGACTTCGTAAGATAGCAAACGAAGGCACAATGGTATAAAAATTCATTACTTCGTTACATCTCGACGACCAACAGCGCGAGAAATCAAAACCGGCAACCAAAAAGAAACCCAATCAAATACCCACCCTCGTGCTGCTATGCTAAAACCAAGCTACCCAACATAAAAAAACCTCATAAGCATCATTCCTCATAAGAAAATAAACGAAACCCAAAATCCTCAGAAGATATCCTCAGGCCAGTGGTAATCCTCAAGGCCAGAAATCATAGACTCCACACCAGAAGCCGATGACGGAGAAAGCACAGGGGCAGACACAGGCCTCTTTTTAGGCGACCGATTCGCATTGATATGGACCTTGGCAGCACTCGAGCGAAGTTCCTCAGGAAGAGGCGGTACAGGCGGGATATCATCGTCAATCAGATATCCCGACCGTCTCCGACTAGGACTCGTCTTCGACCGTGTCGGGGTGCGAGGGCTACGATCGGGATTGAGCTGGCGCTGTGGGTGGTGGTAGAAGGCTTCGCGTTGGGGGTCGGCGGGAGCAGTCAAAGGCGTAGACCAAATACTAGAACGGCAATCGTCGTCCAAGGCAACGGCAGGCGAAGATGCTGGGCGAACGCTAGCCTGGGTCTTCCTCATGCGGAGAGGGGTTGTGGGCTTGGAACTTGGTGAGCGGGTGGTTCCGGAGACTTTTCGGGGTTGAACGTAGGGGGACCTTTTGATGTTGCGCGTGGCACTTGCATTTCCTCCTGCTTCCTTTTCGTCATGCTCGGCCGGGGGAGCTGCGTGGTCGATGGCTTGCTTGCGCTTGGCTGAGCCGGGGCTCTCGCCGGCTTCGGATTTCGGCCATTTCGCTTTCCCGGGTGGGCTAAGTAGGCCGGAGTCAATTAGAACCTCGAGTTCGGGGTCGTGTTCATAATCGTTGATGCCTTTCGTCGGACTGGGCTGAGGAGGGTTCCCACTATCGATAGATTCAGGAATGGAAGACTTCCGTTTACGGGAAGAGCGGTCCTTACCCATTGACGACGGCTGTGTCCCTTTGGAGCGCCATTTTGGACTTTGGGCCGTACTGGAAGTTTGAGGCAGTCGTGATTCCTCGAAGGAGAAAGTTTCGCGGCCATCCACGGTTGTTAGAGCCGTCGGATTGGCTGCTTCGGAGCCAGCCGCCCCGTTTTCTGCAGCCTGTTGATCCAGAAGCCTTTCCGATGGCAGAGTGGGAAGGGCACCTGGGACGAACTTCCTTGGGAACAGCGCGGGATCCATCTCCGTGTTGAGGGTCTTTGTCTCGGCTGCTGGTGCTGGGGTCCGTTCCTCGTTGCCTGTGAGTTCACGAAGCTCCCGCCGGGCACGTTGCAACTTCTCCTCGAGGTTGCTTACTTTCTTGAGAAGCTTTGTTTGGCGCGAGAGTTCCCTACGGGAGGGTTGCTTGCGCAGTCCAGTTGGCTCGTATTCATCGGAGGTTCTATCGCAATACACTGCTGGGGAGGCAGATGGCGACGCATGGGATTTGAAGAATGACCTTGGCAAGCGAAGATCTTGAAGAGAGGAGCGTTTGGAAGCTGAAGACTCAGAGCGCGAGTGTGTACCATAGTTTCCTTGATCAATCGTGTGGCGATACGAGTCTTTGACTGGAGAACCATGTTCCATTTTGTGTTGAATAGACTGCCAGGTCTGGTCGGCGAGTGTAGTGTTGACACGAAGATCTTCAGTATAATGACCCTTATTCGTGCCCTTGTAGCCAGCCTTCTTCAATTCCGCATATGCCTGCTCCGCCTGGTTGATGACATCCTTCTGCGGCGACTTATTTGGAGATCCCTCAGAGCTCCTCCCCCATCCACCGAAGGGATTAAATGCCGAGGCAATAGCCTTTCCAAAACGAAAAATACCAGATGAGCGGTGCTGTAGGGTAGCATTCTTATTTTCCTGCTCCTGAAAGTAGATACTGGGCGGTTTCTCGCTGACACTATCACTCATAGTCGCTTCGACGAATCGCGATGTACGTCCTCTGGGACGGCGGGGGCTAGAAGCAGATGCCGCGGCATGGCGAGCGCGCAGCGAAGCTAGCGAGCCGCGAGGCGAAGCGCGGGGCGAGGCCTTGTACCCTGAGCCATTTCCGCTCGCACTGCGAGTCCCATTTTCACCGCGTTGGGTGCGGCGATCATGGGCTCCGTAATCAGCAGCTTCTTCGGGCAATGGCCAGTCGTTCGAGCGACGTCGTTTGGCGAGCTTCGCGGGCGGCGATCGGTGATCGTCTGCCTGCGCCTCTTCAGCATCGTCGAATTGTCCAGAGATGTCTGAGCTCCAATCGCAGGTATCGTCGTCGCTAGAACGTAGGTGTTTGCGCGAGGAGCGCTGGTGTGCGGGGCTCGGGTCAAAGTCCATTTCCATTTCCATTTTAGAGTCGCGGGCGCTGAAATGACGCAGGGAAGTTAGAATCGATTCTTCTTATGCGGACTTTGGAGTCCCTTCCATAGGGATTATGGCAAGGGACCTTACCTTTGCAGCTTGGGTTATCCTTTTCCCCACGCCCTTGGAAAGACGCAAAAGTCTGTCAGAATTTAGCATAGAAATGTAGTGCTGAAGAGTGTTGAGAGGGAAGAAATAAAGGTAAGAAATGAAAATTGAAATTGAAATTGAAATCTCGGGAGAGTCGAGCAAATGCGCAAGTGCGCCGGTTTGTTTACATACTCCGCACTTGCCAAGGGGGAAGTTTGTTGTGGTACCTGTTACCCACGTCTACCGCCAATTTTGGGTGTTTTACAAAGTACCAGTTACATCATCAGAATGTCCCATGTCCCCAAACAAAAAGGTACAAATATGTCTATCTAACTATATAACTAAAACTGGAAGTGGAATTCCGCGTGTCTCAGACATGTGCCTGTATTTGATAAGGAATGTAGATATGTATAGGATTTATAACCCTGGGCTACTAAAATACAGGAACATGCATTCTGATAAATTGGAGGAAATCATAAACTGGGGGAAAAAGAAAAATGCTAGGTATCAAGGAAATGCCACAACGCCAGTATAAAAAGTAGATCAAGCAGCAGGGGTTTAGGGTGTGAAGCAAGGGTCCCAGTCGCAACGTCAATGAGACAAGCCCTTGTCGGATTGGGAAAACGTATGCTCCAAGAACAGTGCTTAAGAGCATCCTAGCTAAAGTCGAGATAGGGGTGACATTCCCTATTCCGACCTAAGGAGACAAGGCGCTTTGCTCTTGATAATACAGTGTGAATTCAAGAATGATGCTGTAAATGAATGTGACAAACATGAATGATCATTGAGGTTGGGAGTAAGAATAGCAAACCACCGAACCGCTATATAACACCGGGTTTCGACCAAAGGAAATTTCTCGCAAAAGAGTGAAACATGAAAGAAGAAACCAGTTCCCGAAGACAAGTCCAAATGCATCGAGGAATCTAGGGCTTAGGTTGTCTCAACGAGGAATCAGAAGATAAGTTATGTACAAAAAAAGGATGCAATCAGATACCATCACAAGAATCCAGTTCATTAACCGGTCCAAGACTCGGTCATCAAGGCAAGCCCAAGGAGGGTATATTTTCCGCCATCACGGCAAGATATTTGAGGCCATTCCAGATTATAAATTCGACGGAGGAGCTTTCATGACCATTTTACCGTTGGCACGCTTGTATGACAGCTGAATGCCCATTTCGGCCATAAGTGCAGCGCGACTTTCTCCTGAGAAATCACGGTACGCAGGATAAGGCTCGGTATCAGGCCGCATACCGTTCTGCATGGAGCGGTCATCAAGGCCGAAAGTATCCTCATGACTCCGTTTGCCATATGTTGGCCCAGTTTGGTATACCATACGCTTTCCTCTAACGTTGTCGTATCCATCGCCGCCACCGGGTGAAGTGCTTTCCACAGAAGGAACAATGTGGTTGGCATATTCATTTGATAGGGGCTTCGGAGGTGGTATAGCCTGGACCAAGTTCGGTGTTTGAGGGCGTGACACCGGAACATGGGGCATGGCTTGGTATGAACCTGGTTCGGGAATGCGGGGGTCCATGTATGAGTTTGGTTTCGGTGGCTCCATGCCATAGGAATTCATAGTAGCCTTGGGGTAGCCACCCCGTTCAACAGGTGTTTGGGGTGCCACAGGATACGAAATAGGCGTTCCTTCGTATTCGGAGCCGTTGGATGGGTGTCGTATTTGGGCATATGCGTGCTGTGGGGAGTAGATACCTTGCGGTGCGACCGGTGGGGGTGTAGGAGGCATGTGAGGAGCCGGATAATGCGAAGGCGTGGAACCAAATGAAAGGTGCGATTGGTATGAGGGTGTTTGGGAGTGTGACATGGGTGCAGGGGGCATGGGTCTTTGGTAAGGGGGTTGTGGGCACTGGAAGCCATAGTCGGGTGCAGATGGTCGTCGATCTGGAGGAACAAACCCGTAGGGCGATTCCATATTGCTTCCATTGCTGTTTGATCTAGGGCGGTCCATCGAAGCTGCGTATCTGTCAGGTGTCGTGAAACGATCTGACGATCCTGCATATGCGGCTGCGCGTTCCTCATTGAATTCGTATTCTGTATCTCGTTTATCGCCTCGGCGTCTCATGCGCACATCACGACGAATGCGAACACGGCAACCCTGCTCAGCAATGATACGGCTCAGAGAGGTGCTGGTCGCTAGGCCAGGGAACTTCTTAGCGCTGTATACAGTAAAAGGTACCGACTTGACCTCGAGGCGGAAATGAAGGAATGCTTGCGGGGCGCCTGGCTTTGATGTGGCGGAAAGAGGGATTTGGTTGGGAAGAGGCAAAGGCGAATCCTTGTCGGCATCCTTGGCGTCCTTGATCTCTTCATATAGGTGGAAGCTCAAGC